CCAAAACAGACAGTACTTATAATACAGAATGGAGTTTTCAGTATTTCTCACAATATTGTATCTAATTTACTCAAACTATAAATAAAAGTTAACCCCAGGAACTTGTCCAAAATTTACAGTAGGCATAAACGAGATCTACAAACACTAGTAAGTTCTCATGAAGCCTGCTGCATTGAGGAGACTAAAATTGAAACTAAGTCTAATGCAAAATACCTCGGTCTAGTTCTATCTTCTGACCTTACTTGGACATCTCATATCCTAACAATTTCTAAGAAAGTGTTCTGTCTAACCTACTACATTAAGAAACTTAGACAATCTGGAATCACCCAACCTCTACTTTCACAATTTGTCAACTCTTGTATCTTACCTATTCTACTTTACTGCTCCCCGTTAGTCTTTCCTGGGCTACTGAAAAAGGACTATACCATCCTGAGAAGGATGTTGAAGGTAGTCAGTAGGACTAGTGGTGTAAAACTCAGTCAGCTCGTCACTACATTAGTTGATAGGCATCTGAATACATGCGAAAAATGGTCTAAAACCATACTCTCCGACCCCCAACACCCCCTCTATTCCCAACTCTCGCCTTGTATCTCATCAAGTAGAACCAGAAATCAGTATAAAATAATTTATGCTCATACAACCAAGTACAGGAACTCAACGATACCATACTTGGCCCGTGTTCTAAGCGACAGAGACAATGTTAAGCGCGAAACCTATGACTTGCTTTGTTGTTAATAACATAATTTTAGGCTCTTTTATTTCTCTCTTATTTTGTATTCTATAGTGAACTCCTTCTCAAACATACTTAGCTACCTAAATTACTAACATTGGCTTACTTTTTTGTACTTTACTATATTCCTTCTATTGTGTATCCACTGGTTCCGACTATATTAGCACTATGAGTATTACAAAATTTTCCTGTCATTAACCATCATGTAATTATTAGTTTTGTGGTTGTTTTTTCTTATTTTCTATACTTTTCGGCAATATTAAACTGACAGTCATTGGTTGTGAACGCCATTGTCACCACCTTAAAAAAATTTTGTATTATTCAGGATTACTCACACTACCACTACAAACACTGCATTATACCTGACAATAAAAAACAAAACAACCCTGAAATGTTATTTTATGATTGTTTAGAGTTGTTTCAAAAATTTTGAAAATACGTCCAATCATAAAATTCTAGATACTAACAGTTTGAACGGACATGAAGGTTTGATGTTAGCTGATGCATAGGAAATCCTGATTAATAAATAAAAATGGATATGTATCACTAATTATTAATACTTGGTCAAATTCCTGACTGTCTATATCTTCCTATGGAGACGTTAAGAAATGTTTTACAACTGTTTACCCACACACACATACACACTCTGTTTAAAGTGTTTAACAAAGGTAGACCAATATTTGTAAGTCCGAGGTCAAATTTTGATCACAGCTCATACAATTTTGTTTATTATATTTGTTAATACTTGTGTTTATGAATCATGACTGGACAAAGTTTTTAAAAACAAAAGATGTGCCTTTTATGTATAAAACCTCTGTTATGTTAATTTTGATTAATTTCCCTGAAGAAGTTCGGACCAGATTGCCGAACAAAACGTTGGAATTACTCATTTCAATATCGCTGAGATATTACAAATATAATTTTTTACAAATGTCTACTTCTCACTCGGCGCCCAAATATTTTAGAACTATTTGGTCAAATCTTGACGACAGTTCATTTGAATTCTTAAATATCATTTCATAACTTCTTGTAAGACTATAGCTTTACTGTCACCATGCATAATCATATCATAGCTTCCACTATCCAATACTGAGTTATTATTATTATATGATGTTTATTTTCCTTTCGACTTCTTGATATTTTTTCGCATTTTTTAAAAATTATTTTGTTTTTCCTGTTTTTGTTTTTTTTTGCTGTTAATGTCTTTATATTTATTTTTTTGAAATACTCCTTTTAAATGTTTGATAAAATTAGATGCAAATATTGTAGATATGTGCTGAAAATTCCACACTGTACCACTAGTACTGTTTCTGGAATAAAGCAAACTATTATTATTATTATTATTAAAAAGTCAAAAATGTGCAAAGTACAAAATGAGAATAATAACTCTAATAATAATAATAACACTAGGTTTGTTTCAAACTATTCTCAATATAGGATGATGTTTACACTTATGAGAAAATATACCCGAGAAAATGAAAGGAGTATAAATAGAATAATAATAATAATAACAGTAAAGCTTGGTAGAATAAGGGATGAAGAAAATTGCTTATTTATTAGGGCAAAGAAGGTTAGTTAGTTAGTTAGTCCGTGCTTGACACTATCTTCATCACATAAAATACGTGCAGCCAAATATGGTCTAGTGGAATTTTTATACTTAGACGTGCATGCATAAAGTCTTTTGAGATGACCTGTTGTTTAACCTGAGGAGACACAAGTTGAAAACCGCGGGTAAAGTGTATGCTCACAGTCTAACAAAATCCCTTTAGCATATTTTTTGCATGAAATCAAGCGCCTATCAATGACAATGTCAACGATATGACCCAATGGGATAGCTGCCACTCGCCCTACTGACAGTCAGTCTTACAAGTTCTACGAAGTATGACATAGTCTTTTTTAAGCAACCCAGGAAAGAATAAACAAGGGTGAACAGTAAAGAAGAATAGGTAAGATCCACGAGTTGACAAACTGTAAGAGGATGAGGAGTTGGTTGAGTTATACCTGAGTGCCTTAACTTCTTAATGTAAAAAGTCAGACGGAATATTTTTTTTACTGAGAAATCGCTAAGATATGGGCAGTCTAGGATAGATCAGAAGAACGAATTAGTCCAAGATACTTATAAAGTCAAACTTGATTTATATATCACTATCATCAATTTCACAACTGATGTAGGAATTAACAGTTTCATCACATTTAACTTTCATTTACATCCCAAACTGAAATTAACAGTAGAAACGTGTGGGATTAAAGAGTAGGAAATGGAAAAAGGTGCAGGCAGATTCAATAAATATGGAAGATCATAAAGACTGAATGAATCTGCACCACTGACAACGATTTTAAGTCATATTGTGGTGAGTGCTACTTATAATCCGATATAAGTAGTATATCAGAAACGAAGTAACAATATGTTTGGCACACTGGAAAGAGCAATCAAAGAAGAGAACCATGAGAAGAATGTTGCCATATGATGCAGAATCCAAAAAGCTATCGAATGTGACGATATTCGACCAATTCGTCAAGGACGTGGTAAATGATGTGCCAATGGCGGTTTGAGAATATGGTATAACAAATTTACCTATGTGCAATACGTTCCACCAAATAGACATTCCTTCCAGCCTCCTCGATCTTTTCTTCTCTACATTTGGTGTCGCTGCTTCTGCCGGAGATGAAAGTGCCGTGGCCGCGGGTGTTCGAGGAGGGTGATGCGGACGTTCCTCAGGGATTTCGAAGCTGTCGCGGAGCTGGTTGGAGTGCAGGAGCAGAAGGCGAAGCTGGTTGTCTTGGGAAATTCTGCTGAGGGGCCGCGCGAAGGCTGCGTACGACAATGCTCGGGAGCTGGAAGGTGAGGCGGCGTGGGACAAGGTCGTCGAGAGTCTCGTGTGCGAGTTCGACAGCCCTGCGGACAGACAAGAGGCGCTGCAGAAGTTCCGGACGCTGAGACTTGGCCAGGATGGGGGTCCGTTGGTTCTCGCAGTAACGCTGACGAATCATCTGCGACGCGCGTTACCCATCCTGGACGAAGATTCACGGGAGCAGTTGCTCGCATCTCAGTTCCTCGAATGCGTCCCGACAAATATCGCTCATCAGTTGCTAGTTAACGCAGCTCAACCAATGGATGTCTATGAAATGGCAAAGGTGACAAGGCAGATAATGACTTCGCATGTTGCTCCAGTGATGACGGAGTGCCAAGATTCCAAGAAGATCGGAGACCAGATTGAAGAGTTGAAACAGCAGGTGGCGGCTATGCAGATAAGGAAAAGACAAAACAACAGATGTTTTGCTTGCGGAGGAACCGGTCACTGGCAGAGAAACTGCCCGAAACGAAGGCGAAAAAACTTTAAACGGTACAACCTTTCTTCTTTTTCTCGCTCGCGTTTGGAGGTGGTCGGATTAGTCGAAAGAGGTTCAGTATACGGGAGATTACGGATTAACCAAAAAGAACTAGTTTGTTTGATCGACACAGGGGCCGCAGTTTCGTTGATAGATAGAGAACAGTGTAAGGAAATAAGGCCGTGCACATTAGCAGTCCAGACAGTAGGAGGACATCCTTTGCACATTCTCGGCGTTTCAGACTGCGTTGTAGAGATTGGAGCAGGGAAAATACGATATCCGTTTATTGTAACTTCTGATATACTACTTATATCGTATTATAAGTAGCACTCACCACAATATCACCAATATAGTCTGCAGTCATTGGTTCTTAGCATCCAGCTCCGGTCTACACATCCCTAAGCGACTGGTTCAAACCAACTGTCAAAGACACGTCATGAACTGATATTCCCGCTTCTGGTTTGACCATCTCTCTAACTCTTTTCCAAAACAATCCTCGTCAAGAAGCGCATTGGCTGGGCATGCGCGCGCAACACATGTCCTAGTCATCTCAATCGATATATCTTCATTACACCTGATAAGACTAATACAGTTGCTTCTGCTGGTAAGGTAAAGAAGCCGGACTCTAACTTGAAACGCGTTCACAAACCTCCATGTAGAATACCGAAATACCATCTTGGAATCATTTAGAAAAACGAAAAAAGGAAACAATTATTATTATTATTTTTATTATTTGTACAGTTTCATTTACAGGTTTATTTACACGCACACGGAGATAGATAGAGAAAGAGGGAGGGGAAAGAACAATAACAATGGAAAAAGCAGTTACATAATTTACAATAAATACAAAATTTGTAAGAAAATATAAACAACAAGAAGATTATGCATAAATCACAAAATCTCAGCAGATCTGAATGAGGTTTGTTGTTGTTGTTGTTTGTCATTGGATACTTGATTGTGTTGTTTCATTTAATGCTTCAGTCATTGAATTTTCCACTTGTTGAATTTTTAAGCACAGCTTATCTAGACGAACTGATAAAGATTCTTCTTGTTCAACATTTGACGCTGAGGCTGACATTGATGTTGACGATGATGGCTTCGTTATATACAGACACTTTTTAATATCATTATAACGTGAATTATCAATGGATAGATTGATAGCGTTCACTTGTTTCATACACGGTTCATCTATATTCAAAAGAGAAGAAAACACAAACATAGAATAATAACTTAATTCATACAATATGAAGATTTCAAAAAAGACTAAAGAATGACATTAGTTTGAGGAACCATTGAATACCAGGAAGTAGTGTACAATTACATTCATCTAGGAGTGTGAGACTGTTCACCAGTAACGCATGGCATAACTTCCCGCAGGATATCGAACTCAGAATCTTACAAGGCGAGTCTCCTGACCGTTCAATTCATCGATCAACACTATCACCCACTACCACCAGACAATGTCATTCACAGACATTTCTGCCTTCACATTAGACTGAGTTGATCTCACTGGTTACAGTTTCCTGTTAGACTTCCAACCAAGAAATCTACCCTATAGCCAGTCAAGTATTATCTAGCCGGAACTTGCTTGATTTCAAAGTTAGAGAACTATTGAACGCCTACCTGAGAGTACTGGATAACGGGTTGATCTCTGACGAAATCTCAGTACGAATACAGCGGGCTAGTTTCGCATATGCCAGTTTACGCCGTCTCTGCCGTAGACGTGATATCCGACTATCGACCAAAGGGCGTGTGTACTGCTCATCAGTCCGCTCCGTCCTCCTTTATGGCTGGTTGTGAGACATGGCCATTGAGAGTGCAAGACATGAAAAAGCCAGCTGTCTTTGATCATAGGTGTCTGCGTTCTATCTCCCGTGTGAAGTGGTATAATAAGGTGAGCAATATTGAGGTTAGGCGCTGAGTGTTAGATAAGGAGGGGAAATCAATCAACGAGATTGTGAAATTACATCGACTGAGATGGTTAGGATATGTGTTACGTATGCCTAGTCATCGCCTTCCTCGACGGGAAATGTTAGCTCATATAGGGTCAGGCTGGAAAAGAGCTAGCGGTGGTCAAACGAAAGCATGGCACCAGTCAATGATATCCACAAAAGTTAGTTTAAGCCATGTAGGAAGATGTAGACTTCCTGGTTGGGGTCCTCGGGACGGTAAAAACCAATGGTTGCAAACAACTGATGACATGGCTTGTCAATGGACGTGAACATTGAACGTTTGTTTTATTGGAACTGGCAACCATTGGTGGCCAATTGAAGGCGCGAATGCAACGATCGCTTGCAAGTTGGAAGAAGGTGGAAAGAACACGAATAAAAGTACCTTATAACTTCATTTGTACTTAACATTTGTTTGCAGACTTTGTATTTTGTCTCGCTTTAATTGCCAAACAATATAATTTCGTTCAAGGAATACTGGTGTTTTGGATTTAAAGTTGAGATATATACATAGTATTTATCGGTTCAAAACGAAAACGTCTTCACTAGAATAGGAACTTAGGGCTAAGTTCCTTGACAGTTTTTATTCTTCTGTTCGCCTTCTGGAACAGTTTTATTCGTCTGTTCGTCATCTGGATTGCCATCTGGGACAGTTTTTATTCGTTTGGTCGTTTTTTGGAGCGCCTTCTGGACTTCTTCCGGGTGTACTTACTAGATCTGCAGCCAGCTTCTCTTTGGACAAGGATTATCAACGCAATTTGGATTCTTTGGTGACGTTGGATAATGCCTGGGTCAAGAAAGGGATGTGGCACCATGGAAGCAGACAAAAAAGTAAGTAACGATGAGTTGCCTGTTAATTGTAATGATATGTATGATGCTCAGCATGTTGAGTTTGATGTTCACGCTTCACCGTTAAGGGATAGTAAGGGTTTAAGATTGCCTAAGTTTGAACCGCGATACTTCGATGGAAACCCAGCCGACTACCCACAGTTCATCAAAGATTTTGAGGTCATGCTGAGTGGTTTTGTATTAAATGATTAAATGAAGTTAATGTATTTGTTGAAATATTGCACTGGTGTGGCTGCAAGAGCCATACAGTGCTGCAAGTTTATGCCCCCGAACGAAGGATATAATGAGGCAATGATGATACTACGTCAAAGGTTCGGAAAACCATTTATGATATCCCGTAGTATTTTCGAGACATTGAAAGGTAACGGATCACAGTTAAACGATAATGCAGAGGAACTTGCAGAGTTCTTGGATAATTTGATGGTATATAGAAATACACTCATGTCTTTTAACTGCGTAGATGAATTGAACTCAAGTTCCGTGCTTGAGACTGTTGCCAAGAGATTACCTGTTCGTCTACAAAGGAAGTTCATAAAGGTTTGTTCACGTCTAGAGGAGGAGGGTTTAGAGCCCGGGTTGGATGACATTGTGAGCCTGGTGAAAGACAGTGTCAACCAAGCTTTGAGCAAGTTTGCTAGTATACTGCATCCCACCCCTGGAATAGAGAAATCAGAGAGTAAAATGCAATCATTTATGACGAAGGGGTCTCAGCGTATTGGATATCGAGAAAGCTGTATGGTGTCTAGTAAACCTAATGATTGTGACAGCTTTAGTGAGACGTCCCCAACGGATATGTTACAAGCTGCAAGACAAACACGGTTGTGCTTCGTCCGTTTGCAAGAAGTGCATACAAAGGCGAACTGTGAAGCAACGAGCAAGTTTAGTGGCAAGCTAAATGTGAAGTCAGCGTCATCGTGTTCTGACTCCGAATCGTGTGACGATAATGGTGCGGTGAAGAAGCCTGTAGTCGTAACTGGTAATCCATTGTTGAAAAGAGTGTCTCAGACGACACCGCAGTTTGTGCATAAGAAGAGGGTTACAGTTTCAGTGTCATGTTCTGACTCCACAAGTTTACAAGGTATTACTAGTCAGAGTAAAGGAATAAAACCTTTAAGGATTCATGAGGAAGAACCTAAGTCATCTACGGTTGTTATTAAAGAGTTTGAAAATGATGAAGTCGATCATACAGACGGCGGTAAAGTGGGTATTTGTGACAATGGTCACGATAGTTCACATTTGTCTTTGGCTGATCATGATGAGATTAGCGGAATGCCTACTACTACTGAGTTGAACGAAGGTTCTGTACAACTTGAAAGTGAAGTAGAATTAAAGACAGATGCGGTTGCTGCAGATATGGATACTCGTGAGGCCGTCAGTGTAAATGATTCGCGTGTAGTCAACCTATTGACAGATGTTAATGCAGAACTGGAGCCAATAATGAAAGATAGCAGTGATGGTAATCCTGTGGTTAGACAACCTCCTAAAGGTCTAACAACAACAGCCTCTGATACACCGCTAAGTTCATCAACTGGTGTCAGCCAGTCGTCGTTGGTGTTTTCATATGCAGTAAAGGAGCCGTCGTTGAACCCATGTGTCTTATGCTGTGATTATGCTAGTATCGGTCCGTTTTAAAGGACGAAAGTGAATGGTCAGTTTAGTGATGATAAGCCAACTGTGTACGAGAGGGTAATTGTTAAACTGACTTGCACGAATAAAAGCATTTCAGGTTTCAAGTTACCATTTGAATGTTATTATCTTTGGTGCAAATTACTCTGTGCTTTTGCTTGGTTGCTCAGATACGTCGTATGTTTGTTAGTCATCTACATTTCACGATACAGTGTCACGGGCGTGTTACCATTCAGAGTTGAGGATTTAGATGATGGGAGGAGGTCAGCAAATGAACTCAACGACGATTTTCCAACTTAAGAGCGTAAACCTGAGAAGGGTTGTAGGCGTACTGCTGTAAGTCCTACAATTCTTCAATGGTAGTACGTCGAAGAGCAGTCCATCGTACTTGGTGTATTATTTTGTACATATGTTCATGTTGTATATAATGAATTGGTATCATCCCTCTTCTATCTGTTGATTAATTTTGTTTGTGTCCGGACGTCTTCCACTTGGATCGTCAACCTGAGAAGGAATGTAGGCGTACTGCTGTAAGTCCTACAGTTCTTCAAGGGTAGCTCGTCAAGGCAGAATCCACAACATTTGATATACTGATTGTACATATGTTTGTGTTGAGTAATTCAGTGGGTTCCGATTCATCTGATTGTCGGTTAATTTTATAGTTGTCGCATTGTGTGAATCATCTTGTAACGTTTTTGTAAGTACTTCTGAATTCGCTTCTAAACTTGTGAACGAATCGAGTAGTGTTAGAGTCAGTGTACGCGATTGGATACGCCGGGGAGAGGACTGGGCTAGAGTGGAATGGAGCAACCAATACTCCGTGAACCAGATCAGTGGTGGTACTGTCGTCAGAGAGCGTAGATCCCATGCGCCGGGGAGAGCGTGTCGGTGTGATGTGGTATGTTTGCTGTGTGTTGGGCTTTTTTGTCTTGCTTTTCCAATTTTAGCCTAGTCCCGATTGGCCCAGGTTCCCGCATTGGCAGTTCAGTTCAAGGTTACCGCCGCTGTGGAAAAAAGGGATGGACCCTTTTCGCCGGGGAGTGTCAATGGACGTGAACATTGAACGTTTGTTTTATTGGAACTGGCAACCATTGGTGGCCAATTGAAGGCGCGAATGGAACGATCGCTTGCAAGTTGGAAGAAGGTGGAAAGAACACGAATAAAAGTACCTTATAACTTCATTTGTACTTAACATTTGTTTGCAGACTTTGTATTTTGTCTCGCTTTAATTGCCAAACAATATAATTTCGTTCAAGGAATACTGGTGTTTTGGATTTAAAGTTGAGATATATACATAGTATTTATCGGTTCAAAACGAAAACGTCTTCACTAGAATAGGAACTTAGGGTTAAGTTCCTTGACATGGCTCAAAATCGTTCTCAGTGGCAACGCAGATGCATCCACTCCTTGTGACTTATGATTTCCAATGAAACTGTTTTGTTCTTCGTTATTACTACTCCTTTGTCTCACATCTCTGTTTACTGTCTATATTATTATGCATTTCTCCTACTTTCTTCTCTTGCTTTGTGTGCTACAAAGAGGGAGTGTGGCGACTTGAACTGCCGCACATATGTGCAAAGTTCTATGTCGAAAACAGACAGACAGACTGGATATTTGCTTCGGTTTAGTTTGAAAATCTCCAACAGTGCACACCGATGGTCCCTCCCAACCCCACCCCCCAAACTTATAATCAATTGCTATTCAGAAAAACTTTCAATAGGTAATCACTGATGTTCACAAATTTTACTACACAGAATGTAACAATCTAAAGGGACTAGATTATTAGTTACCAATCCATTTTGTAGTAACCTCAGCTAACCTGATTAAGGTACAAATGAAAACTTACAAGAAAAATAAGTGAAGATTGATTTCAATGATTTAGCATTGTTCAAAATATAAATTAAATGTAATTCAAAAAAGGATCAGTTATTACAGCCAGGTAGATCTATGGACAAACCAAAAAGTGTGTACAAATTGCCCGCTAGTGTGAATCATAATATCAGTGAGCAAGTGCATCATGTATCAACTGGCTACTGTCCTAACCTCGACAAATAAGAATGAGGTCGTAATTCATGACGTAATGATTGAAAGATGATTGATTACCTATTTCAAGTATTGGTTTTTGTAGGGATTGTGTTTGATTGGTTGGAGGATCTCATCATGAGCTGACATCAGTTAGAGAACCATTGGAAAACCAGATGGGAGTACTGGACGACAGCGGTGGGTGCATACTGATGAAGAGTCCCAAACTAGGCTGACGAAACAGCTGTGCAGTACTCCGAGCTGGTTTTTTAATGGTTCTCTAACCATTTAAAAATGCTAAATGAGCTTTCTGTATTCAATGACGATATTTAGATAACTCAAATACCTGAAATAGCAGCAGGTTCTAAGATGTTTATCCAGAGCCTTCACAAGTCTCCATGTTTTGCCAGTGTCTTCATTCAACAGGGGATACAGTGTTTACATAATCTCTATGCTAATCAGTTAGTTTTGTGAAATATACTAAGTCAATTTTTGAGACGCTGAAATCGAGGAAAGTCACCTGTGTGTGTAGATTTACGTCAAAATTTTTAAAAATTAATGATGTTCAGCATCTTGAGTCGAATCGAAAACTTACAAGCGAAAACCGACAAACTGGTCGAAGAAGCAGCCGGTGAAGACAGGACTCCAGGTGAACATAGACAAGACGGAGGTTATGAAAATGACCAACACCAACACCACCACCAACAACAACAGCAGCAACATCCACCGACAATCACCATCAACGGGAGGGATTTGAAAGAGGTTAATTCTTTCACTTATCTAGCGAGCATTGTCTCAACTACAGGCAGGTGGAACGGACGAGGATGTCAAATCGAGAATCAGAAAGGCAAGAAACACATTCATCAACCTGAAACCAATCTGGAAATCTTCGTCACTCAACTCAGCATCAACAACAAAATTCGGATTTTCAATACAAACGTCAAGTCAGTCAGTTCTTCTATACGGATCAGAAACTTGATGGGTCACCAAGAATATTTCCAACAACCTGTTGCACACCTTTATCAACAGCTGTCTTCGCTCTATACTCATGATCAGATGGCCGGAAAGAACAAGAACCAACAAGAAACTATGGGAACAAACAAAACAAGAACCAATCGCCCAACAAATATGCAGGAAAAAGTGGAAATAGATTGGACACTCGCTGAGGAGGCTGCTGGGTGACATCACGCGTCAGGCCAGTGCTCGAGTGGAACCCGAAAGGGAAGCGGCGAGTGGGATGTCCAAGGGTGACATGGAGGAGATCGTGTGAAGAGAAGCTGAAACAGTATGGACTAACATGGATGCAGGTGAAAAGTACAGCAGAAGACAGAAGCAAGTGGAGGCGTGCAGTTGAAGCCCTATGTTCCATTAGGAACCCAAGGGAACAAGAATAATAATCTTGAGTCGACAACTTTGTTGGTTATTCTTCCATATGATGTATAAATATTAGACATAAACAAATGATTGAGACAATTTAATAGATTACAGCACTAGATCAACCTTCTAGACAAAATGTACAGATAGAGCAAAGCAAGACGTAGAGTGCCACCACCACCACACTGTCTAATGTGTATCTCATTCTCAGAAAGTCGTGCTTCAACAAGTTACTGGTAAAGGAATGAAGCCACATTAATTGGCTAATGTTGATAACAAGAGAGACTGCTTTATTTATTTTATTTTTGATTACAGCTTGATTCCACACAGTATTTTCAGTGCAAGTATGGAATTTTCAGCATGGATATCGGTAGCCCAAATTTTGCAGGCCGACCATAGATATCGGGTGTGCGTTGGTAGGGGATCAAACCTCGAACCATGTGCATGGTCGGCGAGAGTCCTATCCACAGTGCCACCGACGTTATCGAAATCTCTGCCTATTCAAAAGATGAACACACACAACTTGTTAGCTTCAACATTTGACTATGAATCAGGGTAACGATTAGGGTTAAAGGTAAGGACTAAGGTGTTTTATTATTATCTGTATTTCTGTTGTGAATAAATAAATGGGAGTAGGAGATTTTGTTGTTCATATACATGAAGCCGTTTTGATAACTATGAAAATAGGAAATAGATATCCTTCATTGTAACTGGGATGTATTTTTCTATTACGTCAAGGTAAAATATCACCTTTAATATGTTTCATTATCACTACGTTAATTTTTCCCGTAAATAAATGACCATTTTTCTATGTATAATACACGACAGGCTCTGTAATCCAACGAATGACATATGTTCAAGGTCAGTGGTGCAATTGCACACGACAAGAACTTTGCCAGTCAGCGAAGCAGCCAGTAATCTTTCTTCCAACAAATGTGCAAAAGGAAAGGGAAATGGATCGGGCATGCACTGAAGAAACCCTAAAGTGATATCATACAGTAGGCACTTAAATGGAACCCATACGGGAATAGATAGACGAGTTGATCGTCGTCTTGTGGACATTCGTGGAGTCAGTTGAAAGTGATATGGAAATGTGTCACTGATGCCTTATGTTTTACACTCGGAAAACAATGAATGAACAATAACAACATTGAAGAACACATAAAAACGTTGGATAAAGATAAAATAAACACTTTGACTTACCAATGTTTTTAAAATATTCAGTCATATCATTCAAAATACTTTCTGGTTCAATTTGATCAATCAATTTACAAATAACGTTGGAAAATTCAATCACCTTATCAAGCTCAATATTACTTTTCACCTTACAATTGTTCAATAATGCATTGAACAAATTGTTCAAACAATTTCGAATAAGCGCGAAAAACAAATTCAAATTAGGCGCTAAATAAACTGAGGGTAACACTTTTCGAACTGAATTGGCTATTGATGGTGACGATGATGATTTACACACTAGAGGACTAGAGGAAAATACTTTATTCAAATGTAATTCAAAATTCTGTTCAACTTTACGAATCGATGTATTAAGCCAACATTCAGTTGATAAGCTGAAATTTAATTCTTTTGAAAGAGTTGTCCAATTTTGAACTAATATACTCCACGACGACGAGGAGGAGGCGGAGGCGGAGGAGGAGGGCGGTGACTTTAAAGCAAGATTACTAGGATTTTTCGATTTTGTCTCTGTTTCTTCTAAATCATCAATACATATCAAATTGATAATCTTGTTCGGTAGCATAAGAGTATTGTGCAGGAGATTAGTCAATTCCTTATTAGTTGGAAGTAATTGAACGAATAGACGTGATAACATTGTATGATATGCATCAAGTAAAGATTTCATTGACTAGAAGTTTTAAAAAAAAAGAAAGAAAGAAAGTCAGAACATGAATGTAACTATTTTAAATAGTGTTTCATTAAGGTCAAGTTTACTTTAAACACATCACTAAAGAAAAAAACTAAGGAGAACACACAACAGGGGTTACATTAAAGACTCATTAGCAGCACAGTGCATTTATGTGAGATATATCCCGGCCGATAGCTGCTACCTTGACGTGGTGATCGGGCTTCCATATCGCAATGACCCAACGAGCTACACTGAACGTTCAACTAACGAGACGCCAACAAGACGGAACACTAAAAAGATCCATCTACAGAAAGCCAACGTGGAACGGACAGCTCACTAACTTTCACAGTTGGGTGCCTCTATATACTAAACGAAACCTAATCCGTTCACTAAGCCACAGAATACGTAGAATTTGCAGCCTGGACGCCATAGAAGATGAAATGAACACTCTTAAGAAAATCCTCCTTGAAAATGGCTATCCAGAAAGATTTATCACAAAATCAATGAAACATAGACCAGAGAAGCGGCCCACACCCAGTGCTCCAAAAAGACTTCTCTATATGAACCTACAGTTCAATGGAGACCAATCTACAGAAATACTGAGAAGTCGGCTCTCCAGCTCATTGAAGAAAACCTTCTTTGCAGCTGAATTACAACTGACGTTCTCCATGAGACCAATGATTCGCACGAACGTGAAGGATAAGCTACCGCTGTTGGCCTCAGCTATGTGGATCTACCAATTCACCTGCTCGTGTGGAGCCAGGTATATCGGCCGTACTCAGCGTTCGCTATACAAACGCGTCAACGAACATTTACCTTCATGGTTTTATAAGGGAGAAAACTGATGCCCACGCAGCTCGATCCTTGAACATTTGATCGACTCTGGACACCAAGTTGCACCAGAAATAAACTTCAAAGTTACCTACAGAATACAAGGCAATCTTGCTAAAAGTGTACGGATCAAACTTCTCCACATCGCAGAAGCAATGGCAATTCATCTGCTAAATCCTGAACTCTGCATACTAAAGAAATTCGTTCATTCATTAAATTTACAATGGACGTAATCTTTCTTAATTTCAGTCTTACTAATTGTATTATTTTGTCTTTTGCATTTTATTATTTCACATCTTCATTTATATTATTCTCTACCCCACCCTTTTGTAATCTCTACCCTCATTAACAATGTTGCTAACTTGACCCACGTCCAATTTCTAGTCAACTATGTTACGTCATCCCATTAACTTACTTATTTTCAACTGTATTATTCTCTACCCCCACCCTTAGTTAATTTTAACCACCACTCATTAACGCTGTTGCCAACCTGACCTAATCTGAATTCTACTCAATTGTATCACGTCATCCAATTCACTTAATCGATTCTATTTTATTTTTTATCTTAACGTTTGTTTCCAAGCCAAATAATACCTATATTACATAATTATCTAAACTTAATAAATCTAATGTACACATATACAAACAAAATTGTATATATATGCGATTGTACAGCTCAGTGAATGAATTCGCCGAAAAGAGTCTCTTCGCTGAACGCCTTCTTTTCTTTTATATGACTGAATGCGGATTTTCAAGTTACTTAAAAAGCAGCTACCCAATCCAACACTATGATTCAAACAAATCCACATAATATCATGCCGGATCGGTCGGAGCCCGGATTAACAACGACCGCGCTTCCTGCTACCGTGTCACAGGGCAGAAGTGATAAATATGCTAATGAGACACACCAAACAAAAAAGAACAAACAAAAACAGGCCGCGTGTGACCGATCTCAAGCAGTTGTCCCCTGGACTCTGCGTTCACGCAACACTAACCTTTTCTCTATTTCAGGTACTCGAAGACTACACCGACTTCCACGGTGTGTGCAGCCAGGAAGTAACAACCACCCACACACTTTCAAAAGCACACGAAGCCCACCTGAGCATCACTCTCCCTTACTCACATCACCTTCCTCATCTTGCTTCTCTACTACAGTTATCCCTATTCTTCAGGCTAGTGAGTCATTTTCACTTCACTCTGCGTCCACAAACAACGATGAGAGCCATAGAAACAACCCAGATAGCCTTCTAAAGCCACGTCGCCGACTTCATATAGGAGCTTTTAACGTCAGGACCCTCTGCCAAATCGGACAACAGGCATTACTAGAAAGAACTCTGGAATCTAGAGTCATAGATGTATGTTGTGTTTCGGAGACACGCATACAGGACCCGAGTGTGATCATTCACTTGACCTCACCCGGTCAACATGGTGAATCTGCAAAATTCACTTTCAGGGTGTCAGGAGACCCCTCAGCTAGCTCACGAGGACTCGCAGGTGTAGGGATAGCACTGAGTGTTAGGGCGGAAAAATCACTTCTCGACTGGATCCCAGCAGATAGTCGTATGTGTGCGGTCCGTCTGAACGGGTCCGTTGAAACTACGTATGGAGTTCCCTGCCGACGAACCGACAACGGTGATCGTCTTCTACAGTTTTGCTCAGATAATCATCTGTTCCTAGTCAGCACTAACTTTAGGCACAAAGAGAGACACTGTGTAACCTGGCGACCTCCATCACCAAATCAACGCTGAACTCAGATAGACCACATAGCAATAGGGTATCGTTGGTGAGGGTCATTTGAAAACTGCAGCTCCTTCTGGAACACGTGCGTAGACTCTGACCACGCTCTCGTTCGCGCACCTTTATGCTTACGACTAAACGAACATAAGAAATTGATGGTAGCGAAGCAGTTACGTCCCCAACTAGATCGACACACTGAGTCCCTATTTAAGAAAGAAATAGCGAAATATGTATGTGGTCGACAGCAGGACTTCGCCTGAGGTAGCCTGGCACAACATACAGTTAGCTGTAGACACACCTGTGAAAGCCATTAATAAGCTAAAACCAAAAGTTAGTAAGAGCCATTGGATCTCTACCGCCTCATCCGAACTGATTGACGCAAGAAGACTGATTCCAGCGAGCTCCGATTATGATGAGGAGCGAAAGGTACTCAAACGAAAACTAACAAAAAGTCTTCGCAACGACCGTGAACAGTGGTGGGCGACAAAAGCGAAAGAGATGGAAAAGGCATCGGCGATTGGCAACACCAGACAACTATTCAGGCTTATCAGTGAAACAGGTGGCAAAAAGCAAATGATAAGCGAAACAATCTTGGAGAAAAATGGCACTATAATTAGCTCCCAGGATAGACGACTGGAACGTTAGAAAGAACACTATGAGGAGCAGTTTAATTGGCCTACAGCCACACTTAACCTGCCGAACATCCAACACCTCCCTGAATGGGATATAGACACAGGTCCTCCTTCCTCAACTGAGGTTACTAAAGCTGTCACTAATCTGAAGCAAGGCAAAGCAGCAGGACCTGATGGAATGACTCCAGAGGTATTTAAGTACGGTGGAGACAGTTTACTGTCTGCATTAACTGAGGTACTAGGCAGCGTCTGGGAATCAGAGGAAGTCCCATCGGGTTGGTGTAAGTCACTGATCATCCCGATATACAAGAAGGGAGACAAGTCTTCTTGTGATAATCACAGAGGGATTAGCTTAACTAATATAGTATCTAAAATCCTAGGCTCAATAATACTGCGTAGACTAAGTGGTGCTCGGGAGGCACAAACACGAGAGAACTAGGCACGCTTTAGACCAGGCAGAGGGCGTATTGATCATATCTTCACCCTTCGACAGATTCTAGAACATAGGCATTCTTACCGGCGTCCAACAATCATTATATTTCTTGACCTCAAGGCGGCATTCGATTCTGTTGACTGACTTGATACCAATGGTTTCTGAGAACCAAAGTAACCATGCTTTTCATTGTGTATTGATTATTTTGAAAGCCTGACTAATTTCCACTCTATATCCCGTGTAAATTAGGTGTCCGGCGTTCTTTCTTTATTCAAATTAATAAAGGGAACCGACTGTATGAAATTGCTGAGATGACTGGAATACTGGTCGGATGTCTAGAACAAAGTAGGCGATTGTCATAAGGGACTACGCCCCAAGCCTCTGACTTGAAGTTAGATCCACAAAGGGAGTGAAGTGACGTTTCCGGTGACCAAAACAGATTCATGTGCCATCCGATATGGAATCAGCGTCCTCCAGTTCTACTAGGTGAACCAGAATGTTGACCAGTTAAGTGGTAAGCACCAGACGTTTGTACTCGCCCTTTCACTTTTGTGAAAAACACCGCCACCGTGTGGAGTCTCAGTGGACAGGACTTGCGTGGCAGAGGTTGTGAATGCGTGGCCATATAAGAGCCACCTCCGGTTGTACTAGGCCGATTATATGGAGGTTGTTAGTTAATCATTTAGTACTGAATTACCCATTATCGAGCAATCAGCCATAACTACGCAATTCCTCAGGCTGAAGTACGTGCAATCAGATTCGAACTAGCAGCTCATTGGCTGGAAATCAACTGTTTAAGCCAATGAGGCATATCTCCACAATTGATTTGTATGAGAGCTAACAATAGTACCCTAGTTGTCTTGAGACTCTCACACTCTGAACCCAGTGACCGAATGTCCATTGCTTAAGCTAATGAGCCCTATTTCCACGATTTGAAATGTTACGATTCATGTCTTCTATAATCTTTATTAATTCATGAAAAAACGATAACCTTCCATCCGATATGGTGCTACTGTCTACCACGGATTTACAAAGATGAATGTCCAGGCGATTTGATTTACAAACACCGACTAGAAATTAATATTATAAACTGTTAATGTCACTGACTATTCAGAGAAGTTAACAGCTAGGCACCCAAACGGACGAACACACCACAGACGATGAACCGACTCATCACAGTGAGGCAGTGAAGCCGGGTAAATAACACCATATGTATAGGAAGCAATGGTCGAATAAGTGTAAGAATATTAAACGAGATATCTTTCTTTGAAATAGAGAGACACTAACTTCCAGGTTCTCATAAGATAGCCGGCATTCATCCAAAAAGCAATTGTTTACAGTCAGAAGTTTGAATTAGGTTTAGATTAGGGTTATAATATGCCCAGGTTTTGAGAGGTGAAGTTTCTCTAGAGACTGGGTTGATTTTCCAAGGTAGGTAGGCAGCTACCCCACACTCAACCGCCTTCCTTTTTGGGCTTAAACCGGCTAGTAAACTAGTGAACTAAGAAACCAGACATCAGATCCTCGAGTGGAACCAGAATAGGAAACAACGAGTTTGGCATGGATGTAAATGTGACATGGAGGAGATCATGTGAGGAAGAGATGAAATCTTATGAACAATTGTAGAGTCAGCCAAAGATGATGGAAGAAAGCAGGATGAAGTGGAGATGCGCATGTCCCATTTGGGAACTAGAAGAACAAGGATAATTAATAAGAGTAAACGTTTTGGTTAGATAGAGATTATGGTTAGTTTACTTCTTTCATCCGAACTTGTTGTTTCAAAGTCATGAGTAAGGTTCATTAAAGTAGTTATTCGCCAGCCAGCATCAACAACAAATTTCCGATTTTCAATACAAACGTCAGTCAAGTCAGTTCTTCTATACGGATCAGAAACTTGGCGGGACACAAAGGATATTTCCAACAGCCTGTTGCAAACCTTTATCAACAACTGTCTTCCTTCTATACTCAAGATCAGATGGCCAGAAAGAACAAGAACCAACAAGAAACTATGGGAACAAACAAAACAAGAACCAATCGCCCAACAAATATGCAGGAGAAAGTGGAGATAGATTGGATACTCGCTGAGGAGGCCACTAGGTCACATTGCTCGAGTGGAACCCGAAAGGGAAGCGGTGAGTGGGACGTACAAGGGTGACATGGAGGAGATCTTGTGAACAGGAACTGAAGCAGTCTGGACTAACATGGATGCAGGTGAAAAGTACAGCAGAAGACAGAAGCAAGTGGAGGCGTGCAGTTGAAGCCCTATGTTCCACTAGGAACCCAAGGGAACAATAATAATAATAATTCGCCAGCCAGTCTATGAAAAAAAAACTTTTATTGAAACGAAGTCATGTTGTGTAAAACAGAAGATACGATTGCCTAATATTCGTACACTTTTAAAAAGTATCCCAGTTATTTGTCAGAGAAACCGGAATTTTTAAGTCCAGAAGTTCACTTGACTTCCAACCACTAAGTCACACAGTTCAAACTCAGATTGACCTGTCTTAGTTTGAACTGCCAGGTGGTACAAATAACCCTCACACAATAGTTATGGCTCATTTCCATTTGCATGGAAATTCAAGTGGTTGTTGAATTCAGACCGACATCAGAGTAACATAACTGCCAGAGGAAGGAAAAGCCAACTTTTCAATTTAACCAAGTCACAACTAATTTACATATCACGTGAATCAGTGATCAGATTGTCTGAGACAAATCAAACTAGGAACAAACAATGTGCCAAGGGTTGGAATTCTATTTCACACACACACACATCAAAATTAATGAGGCAAAAAGGCTTCAAACAGAGAGGGGACACTTTGCCTTCAGGAATGAAAAGCCTTTCTACCTGCTGACGACTCGTCAGCTAAATGTTCATGTATACCCTAGTGTGATTGTGTACCCTGTTTGGATTTGAACTCACAGTCAATTGTTTCGAACGCTAAAGCGTAATCCATTTCGATGAAAAACTTTCAAGAATGCATGTAACAAGGAAATTGACGTAAAAAAACACGTCAACAATTGACAAACTAAAGGTGACAGTTATCAAATTTTAACAGATTTAAAACTAAACTTATCAGTAGTTCATTGTCCAGCCATGTGACTGTTGAATTGAAATATATTTTTGCATTCTGCATTGCTTTAAACTCAGCGTCCATAATTTCTTCCTTCAGCGCCGTAACTCTCAGTCTAGTAAACATATGCGTCATTGAAACCCATAGAGTACCGGACAGCTGTTTCGTAATACTTTGTGACTTTCCAGCAGTATTCCTCCAAAACCCCGAAAGGGATCCAATCCGGGACCTTGAGATCACAAAGCAAGCCGACTGACCAATCAGTCACCAGGTTGAAATTCAATCACCTGTGAGTTCAAACCTTTGTCGATGAAAACGACGGAAGCCAGCCAGCCAGCCTTTGTCGATTTATAATACCATCAATGAGTAACCATTTCGACCGGACATGGAGGGTTCCACTGTCCACAACTTCTCACCAGAACTTCAGGACATTCACCTATCATCTTATAGCCACACTACTGGGTTGGAGATTAATATTCAGATTTTAGGTTCAGTAAGAATTTCCATTAATTCCAATTTAGGCTTCGCCACGAAGCAACTTCAGTAACAGAAAGATTTGAAAACAAAAGACCACTGCAGGGTTGTTTCGTCCCGGTTTGGAACTCCTCAGAAACATATATGTAAATATCACTTTAACTTACTGGGTCTACGAAATTTTGTGATTTCCAAAATGCTGAGAGATCTGCCAAAGGACGTAGAAAGCATGCATCAATATACTGGTCAACTAAATCACTCAATTCTGTGTAAACAGTGACTTCAGCAGGCACAGTAGATGTTGACGTCGACGCCGATAATGATGCTAACGACACAGTTGAATATATGTGATGGTTACCATTGTTATTACTAACATTGTTAATTTGAAACTTTCGTCGGTGATTCCAACTTCTACCACCAACTACTGGAGAACGGTTAAGCATTCTGCTAAAACACTCTTCTAACCATTGAAGAGAATATTGTAAATTAATTGACCAATAAGGATTCGGTAAGAATTTACCACTACTTCCAAGAGAAATATGATTGGTTAACTGCAAGACACAAATACCATCGTTATCATTCAATAGATTTTTTAAATTTTCACTTGACAAGCTTAAAGGCGCTTGTGTAGCGATTGTAATAGCCAAAATTAAAAGATGATCATCAACTGGTTGATATTGCGAAGAAGAATTACTGAGTGGTACATCTGATGAATCCAACGGTTGCATCGATAATACTAATTGCTCTCTAGTAATTGGATGATTAAACTGACCAATCACAATTAAAGCAGATAATTTGCCTGACATGGATGAATCTGGCCATTTATCCAATAGGATTAAAGGAAAATCTTTAAATTTTCTGTATATCCAATAGACTGTGTTTTTCAGCTGTTTTTGTACAGTTTCAGAACAACCATATGGAGGAAGTAGAATTGAAGTATATATTCCAAGTGGATATTTACAGAATATTGAAGATGGTTTCAAAGCACTCCATGTCAATGCGTCATCCACCTATAGAAAATAAGGAGATTCTTTAGAAAAACAAATAAACAGTGGGGAGTGATGATCAGTAGGGTTCAACAAGTTGAGTATGAGGACAGACACTCACCGATGACATTGGCTGACGGTCGCTCTTATATATCGCTAGAATTAGTTGTGTTTTCTGAGCTGATTGATTTATACTAAAAGCTAAAATTCATGGGCCATTGTATTCCATCCATGTGACTCAATGGTCAATAATCTCACCTTCTAACCTGAAGGTCCTTGGCTGAACTCCTGATGCGGTCGTCGCTACATACAGCTGGATAGTCTCAAACAAGGACAAAATAACCGTCCCACTGGTTCCTACTCACTGATTCTCTAAATGAAGTCAGTTAGGATTAGAGACGTTTCGCGTGCATTTCGGATTGTGAGGGCGATTGTTACTTCCTGGCTGCCCACACCGTGGAAGTTGATTGATTCTTCGTGAACCTGAAACAGAAGGAGTGTTGCGTGACAGCAGAGCCCAGGGGACAACTGCTTGAGGCCAGTCACACGCGGCCTGTTTTTGTTTGTTATTTTTCATTTGGTGTGTCTCAGTAGCATATTTATCACTCCTGCCCTGTGACACGGCAGCAGGAAGCGCGGTCGTTATTAATCCGAGCCCCGACCGATCCGGGATGATATTTTGTGATTTACTCTGAGTCATAGCATTGGGTTGAGTAACTGCTTTTTGTCTAACCGCTATCCAAACAACCTTTCTGGCATGGTAGGACCTCAAGCGACATAAGTCTCAGCCAGTATAGCTTGTTGGGTCATTGCGGTGTTCAAGCCCGACCACCACGTCAAGGTAGCTGCTTTCGGTAGGGATGAAGTCAGTTAGTGACTGATCCAACCTGAAATGCTTTTTTTCCAAAAATTACAGAAAAACCATAACCCACTCTGTTTCCGTCTAGAAAATATCTTTACTCCCATTAAAAAGTACACTGTCTTCATACTACGTATTCATCCGCTGTGCTAAGAAAATCTACTCAAGTTGTATGATAACTTCCGCAAAAGTGAGTGAATAACACATGATATGATATGGTCTAACGATTCATAGTGGTTCATAAATCTGTAGATTACACTTAAAGCCAAATGATGAATTAGTAACCCCTTTCAATCTAACCGATTCAACTATATTGAAAACATTGTGTAAATCAGATTTTGTTTGTGTGTGTGTGTACATTAGATTTATAAAGTTTAGATAATTATGTAATATAAGTATTATTTGGCTTGGAAACAAACGTTAATTAGATAGAAAATAAAATGGAATTGATTAAGTGAATTGGATGACGTAATACAGTCGAGTAGAATTCAGAGTAGGTCAGGTTGGCAACAGTGTTAATGAGTGGTGGTTAAAATAAATAAGGGTGGGTTCGAATCCCGGTGGGTGCGTACTGATGAAGAGTCCCAAACTAGGACGAAACAGCTGTCCAGAACTCCCAGGTTTTCCAGTGGTTCTCTAACTGATGTCAGCTCATGAAATCCTGTAACCAATCAAATCCCTACAAACCAACACTTGAAAATAAGTAAGTTAATCGGATGACGTAACATAGTTGACTAGAAATTGGACGTGGGTCAAGTTAGTAACATAGTTAATGAGGGTAGAGATTACAAAAGCGTGGGGTAGAGAATAATACAAATGAAGATGTGAAATAATAAAATGCAAAAGACAAAATAATACAATTAGTAAGACTGAAATTAAGAAGCAATGGCAATTCATCTGCTAAATCATGAACTCTGCATACTAAAGAAATTCGTTCATTCACTAAATCTACAATGGGCGTAATCTTTCTTAATTTCAGTCTTACTAATTGTATTATTTTGTCTTTTGCATTTTATTATTTCACATCTTCATTTATATTATTCTCTACCCCACCCTTTTGCAATCTCTACCCTCATTAACAATGTTGCTAACTTGACCTACGTCCAATTTCTAGTCAACTATGTTACGTTATCCGATTAACTTACTTATTTTCAACTGTATTATTCTCTACCCCCACCCTTAGTTAATTTTAACCACCACTCATTAACACTGTTGCCAACCTGACCTACTCTGAATTCTACTCAACTGTATTACGTCATCCAATTCACTTAATCGATTCTACTTTATTTTCTATCTTAACGTTTGTTTCCAAGCCAAATAATACTTAAATTACATGCAATCAGATTTGTACTGCTTCACTGCATCTTCACTGTTAGACTAGAAGGGTTAATCATAGTTAGAGGCAACTGGACGGAGATATATAATGAAATACTATGAAATCAACTGAAGTGTTATTCAACAACTACTTGTCATTCTTATGCAGTTGGCAATGGACCCTACCAATCGTGTAAGGGGGCTATTTATACTGCCCAGATTGATTGGTGACGAAATCTCACCACGGATCCAAAAAGCTCGGGTTGCTTTCGCTAACGTACACCATCTCTGGAGTAGGCGTGACATCCGACTATCAACCAAGGGACGTGTGTACTGCTCACCAGTTCGCTCCGTCCTTCTCTATCTGTGGCTCTGAAACATGGCCAATACGAGTTGAAGACATGAAAACGTTGACTGTTTTTGATCATAGATGTCTACGATCTCCTTCTCACGTTAGGTGGTATAATAAGGTAAGTAATGTTGACGTTAGGCGTGGAGTGTTGGGCAAAGAGGGAAAATCAATCGACGAGGCCATAAAGTTACATAGATTGAGATGGCTAGGTCACGTGCTGCGCATTACTAGCTGATATAGATGCAGGTTGGAAAAGAGTAAGTAGTGGCCAAACAAAAACATGGCCTCATCAATCCATGAAATCCCTGACAGTTAAACTCAGTCAGGTACGGAGATGCAGACTCCTGGGTTGGGGCCCACCCTCGGGACAATAGGTGACATGGCTCAAAATCGTTGTCAATGGCTTACGCAGATGTATTCAGTCTCTGTAATCTTTCATATTCCTTTCTACCATTACTCATTCTGTTTCACTCTTATACTTGTCAAAACTCTATTGATTCTCTTTATCACTCATTTTCTTGTCTACCTTTGTGTGCTATTTGGAACATGGCATCTCTAACTGCTGCACTTCGGTGCCATGTTCTATGTTGAATCCAGCCAGCCATACTGCCCAGAGCTGCCCCCTGAAGCTCAGTGCGTGGAGCGGGATTTGAACCCGCGACCAACTGATTGGAGGTCGTCAAGCATCTAGACTATCGAGCTCCACAGCTCCCAAATTCAATCGAACATTACTCAACAACCAAAACAGACTTCTTAACCCTTCGATAAGCATTAATGAATCAATTCCTATGTTCCATTTAAGTTGAATCTACGTAATGAGCAAAAATACAAACAGAGTTGTCTGTGTAACTCTATTCTTTCTCAGTGATAATGAAACTATTACCAAAGGAAAACATTTCAAGTAATGGTTTAAAAGGATTTGATTGTTCACAAGTTTAACCACGAATGGGCATTGGTTAGAGAACCAGTGCACAATGAAGGATTCCCACTTCGGGACTCTTCATTAGTATGCACGCATAACCTCACGGCTAGGGATAGGACACACACTAATTACTCAATGTAAGATGAAATCCGATATTAACTCTCAACCGGAGTATGTATTTCACTAGAACTGGAACTAAGAAATGAAATACCACGATGTAACCAGTAGCGAAGCAGTGACCACCACCCACACATGCACGCACACATGCACACACACATTTACATAAGCAGATAAGAACTGGAACACTCAAAATTGTACCGAAATTTATCCATAAACTAAATAACTGCTAAGAAGAAATAACTACACGCCTAACAAAAAATAATAATAAACAAACAATTGAATTCACCACCTTTGAAATTTCCGGTGAAAATCTTGAATTCATTAAATGATGATTGTGCAATGCATTTCTAACTGGAAATATTCCTACTGTCTTTTGACTATCTATTGCGTCAGATAAGTTAATGTTGGCTTGAGATTGGTCCACACTAACATTAGCCGCTTTAGTATTACAATAATAATAATCATGATAATTTATAGGCATTAAACGTAACGGTAGACAATCCGCTCCAACTGATGTTGACATTCTGTTTAAGAGGATTTCATCTTGTTTTGCTTCTTCACGTTTCCATATTAAATAACGAAAACGATTAACACAATATTTAATCAAAGCAGCATTGTATAATGAGGTAGCTAGTGATTTGGTTAACGAGGAAGACGTTAATTTGCACAGTCGTTCTTTGATTAATTGATCGAAAATTTCATGCTGTAAGAAGAAAGTTGTAATAATAATAATAATAACAATGTTACAACAAGCATACGAAGCAACGATGAATATTATGGGGTTCATGACATGATCTAACAATTGAAATTAATCTGAATCTTCGCAAATCCCATAATCTAAATACACAGATCGAGTGTGAGGACAAATACACGCCACCGATGACATTCACTAGTGGTAGCGCCATATCATGAATTGGCAGAAGTTGGAATTCACGGATCAGTGGATCAGGTCCCAGTGACTTAATGGTCCACTAGCTGACCTTGACACCGGAACTTCCTGGGTTCGAACCCCGTGATGTGGGTGCGCACTGATGAAGAGTCCTAAACTAGGACGAAACAGCCGTCCAGTACTCCCAGGTTTTCCAATGACCCTGAAACTGATGTCAGTTCCGTGTAAACCAACACTTAATTACAGATCCCCGGCTACTGGATGGATGCTATGAAGCTGAAGTGAGAATTCGTGACCAGTAGGATCCACCATGTCAATGTGGCGGGGATGCCCATCGAAAGGAGTGCGCCGGCCGGGGATCGAACCCCGGACCATGTGCATGGTCGGCGAGCGTCGTAACCGCTATGCCACCCAAGCACTTCCAGTGGAACATAGGACTTCAGAAGCATACTGTCATTTCACTCAGTCCTCTGAAGCCTTTTTTAGCTAAGCTAACCATCTCCTTTTCACATGATTTCCTCCATATGTATCTATGGACCAGCATCAAACTTGTCGGTTCATATTCCAGTTCCATTCAACAGCCTGGTGTGAGTTGTCACTTGAATGCCTCATCGTTGTATGTATGATCCAACTCCACTTTCATTTGCATATATGTTGAGTAATAGGTTCTTCGACGGTAACACTGACTAGAACAGTCTCTTGTCGCTTATTCTTTCCACCAATTTGACCTTCAATATCCAAGGGAAGACAGAGTGTGTTGAGGTAAGTCTGCAGAATGTTGTTGGAAATGCTTTTGGCGATTCGCGCTCACCAAATCTCTGAAACATACAGATGCGATGAATTGACATTAGTATTAAAAATTCAGATCTTTGTTATTCTACAAAGTCGAATAAATCTCTACATTGATTTTAGCCTGTCTCGCTTTTTTGAACCTAACTAGCTTTGAGATTTACATTTGTACACATGCTGGCTCTGTACACAAATCAATGTGTTGTTCCAATAAGTGAAAGAGCTAAACTTTTATTTGGATTTCTTCTCCCGATGATAGTGATTGATATTGTATCACCTCTGTCTTGGCTAATCTTTTTCCATCGATTTGTTAGTTTTCTCTTGTATATCCTTGTAATTTAGGCGAAACGATGTATAAATCATTCGCAAAATCTAAAGCTTTCAGCGTCTTTCTCTAATTGAAAAGTACACCCATGTTACCAAGCGCAACTAGGTGATAAAAATATCGATCCCTCATAATGCACTAAAACAAGCACAAGTCTACACTATCTGACTATCTGATGCAATTCACAGTGTGAAAGGTTTGAATCTCAGAAGGGACATGAGTTCCTTTAAGGTTGCAGATACTCCTTGCTGATGAGTGCCAACTAGCACGAAACTTAGGACCAAGGCTTCCTGCTGATTGCCTCCAAGCATCTAATACCAACAATTCACAGTGCACCATAATGGCCAGCCACCTAGCATGGTGGCCACATTGCAAGGTTGACTGATAGAATTCAGTCTGCAGCGAAGATAGGACTAGACACATTACACTAGTTACTGACTAGTGCGCAAACAAAAAAAACTAGCTGTCTTTGATCATAGATGCCTGCGTTCTATCTCCCGTGTTGAGTTGTTATAATAGGGTAAGCAATATTGAGGTTAGGCATCGAGTGCTAGGTAAGGCGGGAAGGGGAATCAATCGACGAGGCTGTGAAGCTACATCGACTGAGATGGTTAGGATATTCATTACGCAAGTCTAGTCATCGCCTTGCTCGGCATAGCTCGTGGTGGTCAAACCAAAACATGATTTCCTCAGTCAATGAAATCCACAATAATTGGAAACATTTATTTCCCGATACGAATTTAAAACAAGCAATAAAGGTTAATAAAGCAGGATTTAATGAATTCATCAAATTTCGGTAGAACTCGTCAGCTGAATACTCTACATACACGGATATATACTTTTGAAATTACATCGGGAGATATAGGACTGATAAGTAAACAAACTACATTGAATTAGTCATGCGGAAAGACAGGTGCGAATGTTTTTCCAGGTCATGTTCAATTAGATAAGGGGAGAGAGAGTATGAGAGATCAAAATTAAGATAAATTGCATCACGCTTCAATTACATCACTTAGATAAACAATTTGATATTAGAGAATATAATAAGAATTGCAACCAGAGTGATATCAATAGTAATAGTTATAAGAATAATAACAAAAATAATGTTGAAGCGAGTTAAGATAATCCTACTGATAAAAAATAGTTTTAAATGAATCAAGGATAATAATAATGATAATAATAATAAGAAGTAGAATTATAAGTAAAACGTATTACCATGGTAGATTCAGAGTCACGACCATCTCCTTTTGTACACAGAGACCTGGTTTGTAAACTTGAATTGCACAAGCCTCTGCAATTGCAAGCATCTTCTTGTTTCTTTGACTGCTGACAATAGTGAATGACTTGACCGCGCCGATATCATGTCCGTAATCCACAAGATGCTTTGTTATTGAGGATTTTGGCACTTTGCACTCAGCTGTTTTCAACCATTTTGGAAAATGCTCCAGCATGCTCCATCTAATTGAACATGACCTGGAAAAACATTCGCACCTGTCTTCCTGCATGACTAATTCAATGTAGTTTGTTTACTTATCAGTCCTATATCTCCCAATGTAATTTCAAAAGTATATATATCCATGTATGTAGAGTATTCAGCTGACGAGTTCTACCGAAATTTGATGAATTCATTAAATCCTGCTTTATTAACCTTTATTGCTTGTTTTAAATCCACAATAGTTAGTTTAAGCAAGCCACATAGAAAGGTGTAGACTTCCTGACTAGTTGGCGTCCTCTGGACGGTAAACACCAATGACGGCTGGAGACAATTGCTGATATGGCTCAAAATCGTTCTCAATGGCTGGCCCCGATGCATCAACTCCTTGTGATTTGTAATTTCCAATGAAACTATATTGTTCTTCGTTATTACTATTCCTTTTGTCTCATATCTCTGTTTACTGTCTCTATTTTGCATTTCTTGTTTACTTTCTTCTCTTGCTTTGTGTGCTACAAGAAGGGAGTGTGGCGACTTGAACTGCTGCATATCGGTGCAAAGTTCTACGCTGAAACCAGTCAGTCAGTCAGTTCCATTCAAGATAAGATAATGGTGAGTGAATGAATTTAATGTCTGTTTGTTTTCTTCATTCATTCTGCTTTAACAAGGGAACAATGGGCTTCAAGTAGCTGTATCCTTTTTTATGAGGGAGGGAGGGGGTTGTTAAACTTACGCCTACAATATTTTCCTCTTTTTTTCAGGCTTACTACCCGAGAGGAGAGGGGTTCAGGAGTACGTCGGACGAGGACTGAACCCAGACCTTCCATGTGTCTGGTGAGTATATTCCACTACCATTGAACCATCGACGCAATCACTTCATAAAGTTAATGGACAATAATAATAATAAAAATAGTAAAAGACAAACAGAAAACATGTACTTACGCAAAGTGATTCTAAGATGAATTCAAATTGTACAATATGATACAATTCATCATTTATTAATTCGTTTATTAAACTTTCAATCAGCACTTTACTCATCTCATTCACTGGATGGATTGCCTTGTTAAATATCTATAGTAAAAGGAAAGAATAGATGAGACAGTGAGTGAGTGAGTGAGTGAGTGAGTGAGTGAGTGAGTGAGTGAGTGAGTGAGTGAGTGAGTGAGTGAGTGAGTGAGTGAGTGAGTGAGTGAGTGAGTGAGTGATAAACCAAGATTACATTAGACAGTCTCAAGTGTCAACTAATTGTTTCTTACCTAACAGATATAGCTCCAGGCTGGAAAACAGCTAGCGGCGGTCAAACGAAAACGTGGCACCAGTCAATGAAATCCACCACAGTTAGTCTAAGCCACGTAGGAAGGTGTAGACTTCCTGACTAGTTGGGGTCCTCGGGACGGCAAAAACCAATGGTTGGAAACAATTGGTGATATGGCTCAAAATCGTTCTCACTGGCTGGCCCCGATGCATCCACTCCTTGTGACTCATTATTTCCAATGAAACTGTTTTGTTCTTCGCTATTACTATTCCTTTGTCTCATATCTCTGTTTACTGTCTCTAATATGCATTTCTTCTAATTTCTTCTCTTGCTTTGTGTGCTACAAGGAGGGAGTGTGGCGACTTGAACTGCCGCACATATGTACAAAGTTCTATGTCGAAAACCGAATCGAATCTAACAGAATCTAAATGCCATTTCTGTGGGAAAACGTAGATTATCCATTGATATTTATTTAAACCTAAGCTTGGTGTACAGTATGTATGAGCAGTGACTGACTGACTGACAACGAAGAGTAAGAAACACATGATCAATATATTACATAAGCTTAATAAAATTGAGCCTACTCTTCACGAAGTTAATTTCTCCTGTGTTTTACACAGACAGCCCATGCAGCAAGACTATGGCTAGTAACATTTTAGATGCACCACTGTCATATATACATTGTGTAGGTTGTTCTTAAAGATATAAAAAGCTTTTCATCATGAGCTGACATTAGTTAGAGAACCATTGGAAAACCTGGGAGTACTGGACACCTGTTTCGTCCTAGTTTGGGACTCTTCAGCAGTGCGCACACACTGGGAGGAAGCAGGTCGGGTGTGAGGACGAATACTCGCCGAAGACATTGGCTAGGGGTCGCGCTATGTCGTGAATTGGCAGAAGTTAGAATTCATGGACCATTGGATCGGGTCTCAGTGGCTTAATGGTATACGAGCTCGCCTTGTAAACCAGATGGTCCTGGGTTCGAATCCCGGTGGGTGCGTACTGATGAAGAGCCCCAAACTAGGACGAAACAGCTGTCCAGTACTCCCAGGTTTTCCAATGGTTCTCTAACTAATGTCAGCTCATGATGAAAATCCTGTAACCAATCAAATCCCTACAAACCAAAACTTGAATAAAATGCTTTATTCTACATTGATAGAAAATTCTCACATTTTGTTGGACAATCCAATCAATTCTCTGACTAGAGTTTCACTACGATCTTTAAACACAACAGCCTGGGTCGGGTACCTTAGAGAGCTTAGAATTCTTATCGAGTCATCGTTTCATCTAAAGGATAGATTTTAACCGAATATTAATATTAACTGATATAGATGGATAAGTACTGTAAGGCAGTAGTAGAACAAACCAGCTGATGAACTCGCTTCCAAACACGACTGAAACAAATGTTCAGTGTTCAGAATGCTTCAATTCAGCTGATGGCATTATAGTGTACTTGATTTAAGCGGTTAAAATATACTGCGCATATCAATGCGTAGTTGCTCATTAAAAAAGGCAATTGGGAAAGCATTCCATCCTCACCTAAAAAGGTTTAGGTTACCATAAGGTTGTTGGCCTAAAAATTGAGTATAATCGATGACAAACGAAGGGAAGAGTTAGGGAAACTAAAGGCATAGCACACATTTAGTGCTTTTAAGATATCTGTGATCCTGAGTTTCAAACCTACATGGCCATTCAATTTGGTGAGAAAGTGTTACAGTTAGTTCAATGGTTCGCTTTGAAGTGAGTTCCCGAAAAAGGCTTTTCATGTGAACCACACAATTATTGAGTGTATGCGGGCTAATGATAATACCTAAGCTGGGGTAGTTGTAGTGCGATTCAAATCAAGGACACCGTAGGCTAATAGATGAGTGAGTGATAATGCCAGCGATCCACGTCTGACAGATGGCTATAACACAAACTTAAACGACTAAGCCATAATTGAAATGTTAAAGAATCAACAGAAGACAAAACAAGAATTAAAATTCAATGTTCAACTTATGGAAAGAGGATAAACAGTAGGATAATAATACCCTAAGTGTACCGGGAAAGATGAATAGTGACGGGGACAATGACCTGACACTCCTGTAAAATCATCTAAATTATTGTACATCCCACCTGCACATGTACTATAAGGGGTGAGGGAAGATTAGAATTATTTTTTTCAAATCGTGGAAAATACCCCCCATCGGGACATTAGAGGGAAAAGAACAAGAAGTTCAGCAAAGATGGTGATCTTTTCGGCGATTTTAGAAATAAATTGTTTGGACTACACCCAGACAATTTAGACTTGCGTAATGCGATTTAGATTGTGGAGATATGCATCTCAATGGTTGAAGCACTTGACTTTCTGTCAACGGGTTCCCGAATTTCAATCCCCCGCTCTGTCTAATTCAGCCTGGCCAACGAGGTAACATCATCAGCGTCCACACAAATGTACGGCTCGAAACTTGGTACCAGGTGAAGTGAATCCTAAGTAACTGACTGACTTACTATATCTACATCGGTCATCTAGTGTCGGCGATTAGACTAAAACAGTAGTCTAATTCATTCACTAAAATAAATGTATCAAGTGTTGGCTTGGGAAAATTCGCCTAACTTTGAGCTAAATTATAGTTTGTTTCGTCCTAGTTTTGGACTCTTCATCAGTAAGCACTCACGACCCCATCAAAGGTCGAACCCTGGAGTTTCAAGTTACGAACCGAAACTTGTGGACCATTCAGACACTTGGGCTGAAGTTCTATGACTCCCGAATTCTAAATTTGCCAACTCTTGATATAGTGCTACCTAGGTGGGGTCGTGAGTGTACACTGCGGAAAAGTCCCAAAGTAGAATGAAGCAGCTATCTACTGCTCCCTAGTCTACATTGAAAGTATTCCAAATCCTTACAGGAATCCATAATTTAAGGATCACAAACTGACAACAGACAGGGAGTCATTGAAAAACACATAGAGTGGTGGAAAGCTGTTTCGTCCTAATCCGAAGAGACTCCCCTCAGTACACACTCAAAAGCTAACCGGGAATCAAACCCTGGGACTAACCAGTATTCTCTAGTTTTCAACAGTTCCCTAAACTGATGTCACAGTTCATCATCAAACTTGACTAGTAATTAATATTGTTTTGTTTTCCAAAAACACACACCCACACATACCTCAGTTAACTGTTCTTTAATAAGCATTTCAAGTAAATTTTCAATCCATTCATGTATGATCATCTCTTGTAGGAGAAGATTTTCAGCTAACTCTTTAAAATGCATAACATCATCAACAACACATTCATAGAAGATCTGTTCAACGAGTTGATTATCAATAATCGGTTTCTTGTTCTGTGTATTAGCTCCAGTTAACCACGACGATGATGGTTGTGACGTAATTAGTGAAGAATTCAGTTTTGCTTGTTGAAATAAAGGGAATAATGGCGTGGATGAAAGAGAATAGTTAACAGTACTGTTGATGATATTGCTGTCTCTGTTGTTGCTGCTTCCATCGTCGGCAGTAATACGATTGCTGAATAGAACATTACCAAAACCACTACTGGAGCTGACGACCATATTATTATTAGTAGTAGTAGTAGTATCATTATTACTAGTAACAGTTTGTACATTTGTATTCTGTCCACCTGCTATGTACATCCCATTTGTATCGAATGACGACTTTACAGGAGGTGGTATGGCATCTGAAGGATTAATAGGTGAACCATTGAATAATTCAGATAGTGTAGTACCGATTCGTTTGTTTTCAATTATCTATATATGTAATTGGAAACATTGAAAAGAAAGAAAGCAGAGTAGATTAAAATGCATGTGAGTTACACGGATGAACTAAACCTCTGACGATAGATTCTATAATTAGTAACCTATAAGTGTATAGATTGCTGAATACTTGAACGAGTAGCAGTAAAAAGTCGCACAATTCTACCAACTATAAACTTCGACTGATGGATTTCAACGTAGAACTTTGCACAGAAATATAGCAGTTTAACTTCCTACAAGAATAATTACGCGGACGAATTGACATTGACGAATAAATGCATCAAGGTGATTACAAAGAGTGAATGAATGAGCAGGTCAATAGGGATCATTTTGAGCCATTTCATTTAAAAGTTTCAAGCTGCTGGTTCTTAGTGTCTTAAAGACCCTAACTATGCAGTCCATACCTCGTCAAACCAACTACCAAAGATCTCGAGGATTCATGTCGAGTTTTGATTTGAGCACCTCCAACCCTTTCACAACCTAATCCTATGTCTTGTTGATATAAGGATAGAACTTGAGCACTGTGGTAGAGTACAATTCCATTATGAATAAAATTCATTTTTGTAAAGTATGACATTGTTATACAGTAATATTTACTGATGACCACGTTTCGAGCGCAATTTATTGCTCACAATCATACCAAGGTACTCACACAGCTTTCTGACATATGAATGAATAATATAAAAGTGCACATTAATTTCAATTATCAAACTGTATGTACATCACATAAAAACAAACCACATAAGATATCTTTAAATATTTCCATTTATAATATTAGAACAAGACATATTAGCGTACAACATTGATGTTTTCAACCAGATCTTCTTCAGGCTCTACTCTAATTTACATAGACTTATATATAAAAATTTTTAACCAATGACGGTGATTTTGTGGATCAAATGATAATAATAAAAATAATAATAATGTGGTAAATGTTTTGAACGTAGTTAATAACGATGATTATAATGACAACAAAATATTGATAATAAGGTTTATGCAGGTGGCGATAAGAATAACAAAGGTAGCAATATGTGTATATGTAGACAACTCAATAAATAAATAAGTTAGGTCAAATCTTAAAAGTTACGTTATACTAAAGGTGAAGTGGACAGATAATCAGAGTTTAAATAAATATCATAAAAGTACGAAGGAAATGGAAAATAAGAAGGGGTGAGAGGGTTTTGAATAGAATTCACCTAGGCCAAGGGAGAGACAAAGGTAGAACAAACTTCTTTTGTATGCAAAGACTAGGATTGTTCTCTCGAATTCCCATAGCTTCGGCTAGGTGTAAAAGACGGGTTCTGATTCCATTCGAAAGACTCGATGGAATACGATAGATAACTTTGAAAACACTATTTTTGTCCACTTGGTGACCGCTATCAATCAAATGGGTCAAAATAGAACTTCGTATAAATTTTATTTGACCTTTTCCGAACCATGAAGGAAGATGCTCATTAATGCGTTTGTTACGCTGTCTATATGTTCGCCCTATATAGCTTTCTCCACGGGGGCAACTAAATACACATATCGAAGTGGCACAGCTAGGTAGCTTATTTTTCACTTGAGCAATCAAAATTGGTCGGCTGGAAAATGACAAACAAAGGGTGGCGGCAGTATAAGTCCGTTTTATCGCTGTCAATAATCTCAGATGTAAGACTTCGCTAGCCACGTCCCCATTAAATTGCAGTTTCATGAACAGTTCTTTCTTTTTAACTGTTGTCAGTTTTTCTTTGTTGTACCTGGTATTCATGTGTCTCCTAACAAATCTACTAGGATAACCCATTTGGACCAGCGTATTTTGGATATATCCTAGCTCATTTTCTAGGGAGTCATCTGTACAGATACGTCTTGCTCTATTCGTGAGGCATCTGACCAAACTGATTTTGTATCGGATTGGTACAAAACTGAGGAAATGTGTATATTGTCCTACAGATGTAGGTTTTCTATAGACATCTCTCTTGAGTAAACCATCCTCTCAATTGGACGTCAAGGATGTAGTCTAACATCATGTTCTTCTTCACAAGTGAAGATGAGCGATGGATGTGCATCATTAACCTTTTTTAACATTTCATTCTTGTCAGCTTTCACACCAAAAATAATAAACGTATCATCAACATAACGAAAATAAGAATCGGTTTTCTCTATTACTTGTCTCAATGGACCATTTTCAATCTTGGCAAGAAAGAAATCTGCCAAAATTGGCCCCAATGGAGAACCCATGGCAATACCGTCGATTTGCCTGTAGTAAAGGTTGTTGAATGTGAAGTGTACATTCATAGTACATCTTTCAGACTGATATCTGGAATACCGATGTCGATCTGTTTTTCTAGTATCTGTTGGTATATGAATTCCACAGTCTCCATAAGTGGTACATTGGTAAACAGTGATGCTACATCTACGGAAAGCATCTGCTTCCTATTTACATTGATGTCATCCACGTTAGTAATAAATTCAAAAACGTCTTTAACACTATGATTTACTACCATCTTGTATAACGGTTGGAGTTCACCTAGCCACTTTGTTATCATTATAATCATAGTTATTAATTTCGTTCAAACCATCTACCACATTATTATTAGATCCACAAAATCACCATCATTGGTTAAAAATTTTTATTTATAAGTCTATGTAAATTAGAGTAAAGCCTGAAGATCTAATTGAAAACAATATTGTTCGCCTATATGTCTTGTTCTAACTGACTGACCTTGGCGGCCTGTTTGAATTTTTGGGCCTGCTATCATAAAATCTACATATTGCATCCAACCTACCATTTACTCCATTTATTTATCACCCAAATATGAATTCCAAAAGGATTATTTACTCTCGCAACTTTATCATTCATTTACGACCCAATGACTTTCATATTCCCAAGAAACCAAGGAGGAAGCATCGTAGTGGCTGGCAAAGAGCTCTTAAACGTACACCAATACACTTAACCACGGTCCCTGTCATAATGAACACCAACTGCCGCTCTCTGCCTAACAAAATAATGTACCTACAATCCTTGATGTCCACTGACACTTATCACAATACTGCGATAATCACATTACAAGAAACATGGTTACACGAACTGTACGATGACAATCTCATCTCTCTAAAGGACTTCATCCTATTTAGACAAGACCGAATATGTTGTAATAAGAAAAGTGGGGGTGGAGTTGCAACTTTTATTAACTCAAAATGGTCTATTTCTAATAATGTTTGCTTCTCATTCTCAAATGACTTCATAGACTGCATCACCGTCAAATGTCGTCCCAAACATCTCCCCAAATATAAACACATCTTTATCACAAACATGTACATTTCTCCAAGTTGCTCACTATCTAATCTTTCAAATTTTGCCGATGAATTCACCATGTTCGCCGCTGCCAACTTCGACAACTCTCTGTCTGTTATTACTGGGGACTTCAACTCGTCAGATTGCTCCTTCCTTGAAGCACTTGGTCACTCTAACATTGTCAAATTTCCCACTCGACTAGACAAAACACTGGATTTAGTTTTTACAAATGACGAAGGAATCTATGAAGCACGTAAACGTGCACCGATCCTCAACTCTGATCACTCTATTGTTCGTGTTCTACCAAAAATTTACAGCAAAACACATATTAAAGTCTTCTCGCATCTGTCTATGAAAGCACAACAAAGATGCTACTCATCCGAAAACTTACTCAATCTAAGGTGCATGTTACAAAATACTAACTGGGACTTATTCCATGAAAGTTCATTAGATGACACAATCGTCAATATAACGGATTATCTCAAGTTTTGCCTTGATATATGTTGTCCCAAACAAACTCTATTCAAACGTCTCGACCGCTTCTCATCTCCTTATCTCAAACAACTTCGCAGGAAAAAAGAAACTTTGTACAAATCCAAAGACAAGTTAGGACTCAAAAAGATTAATGCTCAGATCAAATCTGAAATCAAAAATCTTAATGCTATATATAATGATACACTTTTATCATGTAAATCTCCAATCAGTATGTGGAAACTTTTTAATGAAATTACTGGTAATAGTAAGCGTTGTAATACTTTTCCCTCTTATGATGTTAATGCTCTTAATCAGTCTTTTATACGCTGTCCTTCTACTTTAACTACCTCTAATGTTACCTATCATGTTGCTGAAAACTTTCATGACTTTAATACTCTCGATGTTCTAAAATGTCTTAAAACACTCAAGCCCTCACGTAGCCTAGGTCCTGATGGTATACCTGCCTATGTTCTAAAACAATGTGCAGATGTGTTGTGTTCTCCACTAACCAACATCCTAAATGCCTCTTTCTCCAAAAATATCGTACCTGATGCATGGAAAGACATCAAAATTGTCCCTGTCCCTAAACCTGGAAATGGCAAGAACGTAAAGTTCAGACCCATTGCCATCACTTCCCCGTTTCTAAAGGTTATGGAAAAACTAATACTTCTTAAACTCGAACCCTCCCTTAAAAACTTCGAAGACCCAAAACAATTTGCCTATAGACAGGGTAGGAGTACATTAGACGCTGCAGCTGTCTTACACAACAACATCGTCTCATCATTAGATAAAGGTGCTAAATACGTCCGCTGCACGTTTCTTGACTTCACTTCTGCTTTCGACTCTGTTCCTAGATGTCTCCTTCTAAATAAGCTCTCTTTGACGAAAACTGAGTCCTGGGTCACTAACTGGTTGCATTCCTACTTCTCTAACAGAAAGCAGTACACCGTATACAAAGGTAAATCATCCTCTGCTGCACTCACTGAAGCCGGAGTCCCCCAAGGCGCTGTACTCTCCCCACTTCTCTTTTCCTTCTTTCTACATGACTTACCATCTTCAAATGACATTAATTTTGTCAAATACGCTGATGATCTGTCTGTATCTTTGCCTATCAAATGTCAAAGCGACTGCTCTAAACTTAATGGCTTTCTGTCAGAAATCAACCAGTGGTCCAAGGAAAATGGTCTTACTCTAAACCCTTCCAAATGCCAAACAGTCAATTTCACCTTTAGGCATAAATCCGACCTAAACAAACTGTTTGGCTCTCACGAGGTATGCAAAATAGACGGCACTGAAATAGAAACTAAATCGGAAATTAAATACCTAGGTGTCATTCTATCTGCTGATCTCTCCTGGTCGTCTCATATCTTAGCAATTTCTAAGAAAATATTCCGTCTTGCCTTCTACATTAAGAAGTTAAAACATTCTGGTATTACCCAACCCCTACTCCTACAATTCGTTAATTCTCGCATCCTGCCTATTATTCTCTATTGTTCCCCCTTAGTTTTTCCTGGGCTACTGAAGAAAGACTATAACATATTACGCAGGATGTTAAATGTTGTCAGCAGAGTAAGCAACGTGCCACTTAACCAGCTTGTTAATATTTTGGTTGACAGGCACATGGACTCATGTGAAAAATGGGCCAAGTCCATTTTATCTAACTCACACCACCCTCTTCACTCACAACTCTCCCCTTGCATCTCATCAGGTAAAACAAGAAGCCAATATAGAAAACTATATGCTCGCACCAGCAAGTACAAAAACTCAACCATACCCTACTTAGCTCGCGTTCTGTGTGATAAAGAAAGCATTAGGCGTGACACCTATAATTCATTAAATAGTCATTAGTACAACTGGATCTCATCTTTCCAACCCACTTCATCAATAGGTTCAACATTTCCTTTCTTTCTGTTCCTTTTCTCTCTCTTCTTTTTCCGTTATGTGCTGCTTTGTCTCTTTCTTTCGCTTACGCCAGTTAATAAGACAGCTCCCACTTTTCTAACACCTTCAAACACTGTTTCAGCTTTACCTTTGCTACTGAACATGCCAATGTATTGTTGTAATAATGAACTGTGGTTTCCTCAATCTATGTAGAATTCTATTTATTGACAATGTACTAACTGGATGCAATACTGTAGTAAAAATGCTGAGAATTCCATTCTGTATCACAAGTACTGTTTTGGAATAAAGCAAATTATTATTAAATATATACTACTAATAAGTAGTTTAAAAATAACAATCAAAATAATTGTTGTCGCAGCATCGGTATTTGAGAGATATCATGCTCACCAGCAAACATGAGGTAGGTTTGGATTCGATTCCCGGCTGACATATTTTTAAATCTCGCTTACATTATTCACCGATAGTACTCCAGACAAAGAAGGAAGTTTAGGTGTGAGGCTTACAACCTCACCACGTAAAGAAAACAGCATCATCGCACCACAGAAACTTGAAAGTTTGAAGCCCTATTTTCCACTGGAATATAAACGACGAAAAAGTAGAAGAAGAAATAGTAGTAGTACTAGTAGCTTACCTGAAATGATCTATTCTCTCTCCATGGTAATTCAGGTGGTTCCGGTTGTACTTGTTTTTCAAAAATCACATTTGAATCATCCGTTGTTAAACCCCAACGTTCACAGAAATCTTTTGTTTCAGTATTATTTTCAAAACCAAGTTGTCTAGTCAGCGTAGAAATAGGATACTGTTGAAAAAAGGAAAGAAAAATAATGTAGAAACAGAAAAAAGACGAATGGCAAGCTTTTTTCTAAGAGAAATAAAAGGATTGGCAAAAGTTAGAATTTATGAGGCATGTGATTCTATTCCACTGGCTTCACGGTCAAGAGGCTTGTCTTGTAACCCAAAGGTACAGGGGCCAATTCCCGCCAGGATGGTGGGTATGTGCTGTTAACGAATCCCAAACCAAGACCAAACAGTTGACCAGTATGTTTTTCTTTTCAATGATTGCTTAACTGATGTGGAAGTGCGCATTACTGAAGAGTCCCAATCTAAGATGAAACAGTTGTCCAGTGCCTCCTAGTCATCAGTGCTTCAATGAATGATATTAGACGAATTCAGTTGCCACAAACTTAGCGTTTGAAATAAAATAAAGAAAACAAATTACCGAAAATACGTGAGGGATCAAATACTCAACCATAGTGATTGAATCAGTAGACACAGCAACTATAATAGAGTTAAAATGCATTAGTATTATTACTTCCTTAAGTTCCCAATGGAGCATACGGCTTAAACAGTGCACTTCCACTTCGTCCCGTTTATTCCATTCCTTTTTAGCTTGCTCCACGATTGCCCATAAGATCTCATCTCCTCCTCACACGATCCCATCTATGTCACCCTCAGACCTACGCCCAACTCATCGTTTCCTATTCGTTTTCCACTGAAGGGACCACCTGGCACGTGATGTCGCTTAGTGGTCTCCTCAACGTTTGTCCGATCCATCTCCATTTCATTCAGAATATTTGCCGGACCAGTTATAGGTTGTTGGTTGGTGCATTACCTGCCTGAGTTCCTTGTAGATTATTCTCTTCCTGAACATCTAATTTTCAGTATCGAGTGAAGACAGCTGTTGTGACAAGTCTTCAGGATCCTGTTTGGCATGCTTCAAGTCTCTGAACCGTATAGAAGAAGTAACCAACCTAACATTAGTCTTGAAGATACAAATCTTGTCATTTATGCTGCTTGAAACAGATTTCTTACACTGGTTTCAAAGTAATGAAGGTTTGTCTTGCCTTTTCAATTCTGCCTTTGACATCTACATCTGTTCCGCCTGAGGCTGAAATGATGATGTCTGGGGTAGATGAAAAGATGACTTCCTTCAGATTTCTCCGGTTGATGGAGATTCGGTAATCTTAGTTGCTGTGGTCAAGGTATCTTCACCACCTTTGTCTTCTTTATGTTCACTTAGGGTCTTGCCTTTGCTGCTTTTCCTGACAACTTTTTGGTTTCCACCTGTAGATCTTCAAGTCTGTATGACATTGGACATATATCGACCGCGAATTCCAGGTCTTCTCGTTCCCCACAGACTATGACATGATTCAGTTCAAAATTGCAATAAATTATTATTATTTTTATTGTTCCCTTGGGTTCCTAGTGGAACATAGGGCTTCAACTGCACGTCTCCACTTGCTTCTGTCTTCTGCTGTACTTTTCACCAGCATCTATGTTAGTCCATACTGTTTCAACTCTTCTTCACACGATCTCCTCCATGTCACCCTTGGACGTCCCACTCGCTGCTTCCCTTTCGGGTTCCACTTGAGGGCCTCGCGCGCGATGTCACTTAGTGGTCTCCTCAGCGAGTGTCCAATCCATCTCCACTTTCTCCTACATATCTGTTGGGCGATTGGTTCTTGTTTTGTTTGTTCCCATAGTCTCTTGTTGGTTCTTGTTCTTTCCGGCCATCTGATCTTCAGTATAGAGCGAAGACAGTTGTTGATAAAGGTCTGCAACCTGTTGAAAATATTCTTGGTGACCCGCCAAGTTTCTGATCCATATAGAAGAACTGACTTGACTGACGTTTGTATTGAAAATCCGAATTTTGTTGTTGATACTGAGTGACGAAGATTTCCAGATTGGTTTCAGGTTGATGAATGTGTTTCTCGCCTTTCCGATTCTCGATTTGACATCCTCGTCCGTCCGTTCCTCCTGTAGTTGAGACAATGCTCCCTAGATAAGTGAATGAAATAACCTCTTTCAAATCCCTCCCGTTGATGGTGATTGGCGCTGGATGTTGCTGCTGTTGTTGTTGTTGTTGGTTGGTTGGTTATTTTCATAACCTCCGTCTTGTCTATGTTCACCTGGAGTCCTGTCTTCTCTGGCTGCTTCTTCGACCAGTTTGTCGGTTTTCGCTTGTAAGTCTTCGATTTTGTGTGACATCAAACATAAATCATCCACGCGCGAAATCCATGTCTTCTAGGTTCTTCACGTCGGTCCAGGATATCCCTGTCTTCTCGTTTCCCACTGTCTGACGCATAATCCAGTCCACCACAATTAGGAATATCATTGGTGATAATAAGCACCCTTGTCAGTTCAAAATTGCAATAAATAGTATCCGTTAAAATCAGTTGGACTTGCTCGAGACTTATAATTGCACATTATAAAGGCCTTGTGTTGATAACAAGTGAAATATCATATAAGATGGCATATTATTCAATGAAAAGTATGTACAAATATAAGGTTTTCTTTTTTACTGGGAATAGAATAAGAATTGTAGAAAATAGCAATTGTATTACAAGAAGACTGAGTGGTCATACAATCCCTAGATGGATTCCCACTACTGAATAGCATCCAACGTTTACTGTTTCGTCAGTCAATATTACCCATGATCATTCGTCTTAACATGAGTCCCCACTGGCCACGGCTTTTAACCAGACCTCCAAAGCCTCAGGATGGTCGGGGTGGGTGCCTTGCGCTGCGGGTTGGCCACCCCTCCGCACACCTCTTCAAATGCTCCCATATGACCGGGCGTCTCACATAGCCTTTCCTGAGGAAGTCCTACTCACTGCCTTCACGTGGCGGAGGTGTTTTTTTTCACCAAAGTGAGAGGGCGAAAGCGGATGCCCGGCGCTCTTCACCGGGTTGACTGTCCATTGGATGACAGTCTAGGGGAGATGGCTAAACCCTGATTCCAAACCTCCAACGACTGGTGTATGAAGCTCACTGGAGCTCACCGGCAGACGTATGGACAAAGGGCTTGTTGGATGTCCTAGATGTCTGGCCCCATTCAAAATGGCGTATGAACCGAACTCCGGTCACCGACTGCCAATGGATAGTGGGCTCCCTACTCCACTCCTACTGCCTTGTAGGTCACACTTGGTTGTGTAAAGGCTAGAGCTGCACTCTCAAACAAAAGGCCGAGCGATTCTGGGGACATCACTCGTACCAAATTCCCATGAAACTTCATGAACTCTCTTACCAAGCCTCCATACGATCCGTTCTCCTGTATGGCTGTGAAACCTGGCCTCTTCGCGCGGAAGATGTACGCAGACTCGAGGTAGTAGACCATTGGTGCCTCAGGTACATTCTGCATGTTCGTTGGCAGGACAAACTCTCCAACGAAGAAGTGCGTCGTCGTTGCTACAACATCAACCAAATTCCAGTACTGGTCCAACAACGTCGCCTTCGGTGGTTGGGCCATGTTCTGCGCCGACCAGATGACGATCTGGTCAAATCAGTTCTAAATCCCTCGCCATTACCATCTTGGCGATGTCGCAGGGGTGGACAGCTGAAAACATGGCTTGGTACAGTCAAGGCTGATATGGAGTGCCTGGGGCTACAAACCGTCTACGGACTCCGTCTGTGGAACAAGAATTGGATAACCCTGTCGCAAAACCTTGCATCAGATCGCCGCGCCTGGGCAGCGATGATTCGAGATGTTCATGAAGCCGGCTCATCCTCCCGTAGGAGATAGCCGAAGTAAAGAAGAAGAAGACCTAAGGCTATGCACCGAATTAGTTTAACCAACAGAAAAAATATAACTTAGTTTTGATATGAATATTAAACACAAAAAAAAACTAATATATTACATATGAATAGCTTACATGAACTTCACGTTTTGGATGTCCAGCAAAAGCATATGACAATCTTGTTAAAGCTTGACCACGTATTTGTACAAAATATCTATGCATAAGACAAGCGGGTAGACACTGAGCTAGACGAGCTAATCGAAAAAATCGAACATAATTATTTGTTATAAGTGCTTCATGTGCAGCGAATGCAAAGCGTACAGGTTTCGATTTACGTATACGATCAGGTAGACGTTGAGCTTCACTGAAATGATCAAATAGGAGAAAGAAAGTACGAAGAATTATATTGAAACGTTTACAATACTTAGTTAGTTAATATTCAAACTGGCTGAAATGTAGCGCGCCGAAATCATCACACCTGCAAGAAAGCAACTCAGTTACCATCTACAGTCCATAAACTGTGAAATGGTTGTGTATACCTTAGTCTGTCTGTCTGTCTGTTTTCAACATAGAACTGATGTGCACTGATGTGCGGCAGTTCAAGTCGCCACACTCCCTCCTTGTAGCACACAAAGCAAGAGAAGAAAGTAGGAGAAATGCATAATATAGACAGTAAACAGAGGTGTGAGACAAAGGAGTAGTAATAACGAAGAACGAACAGTTTCATCGGAAATCATAAGTCACAAGGAGTGGATGCATCTGCGTTGCCACTGAGAACGATTTTGAGCCATGTCACCAATTGTTTCTAACCATTGGTTTTTACCGTCCCGAGGACCCCATCCAGGAAGTCTACATCTCCCTACGTGACTTAGACTAACTGTTGTGGATTTCATTGACTGGTGCCAAGTTTTCGTTTGACCGCCGCTAGCTCTTTTCCAGCCTGGCCCTATATCAGCTAACATTGCCCGTCGAGGAAGGCGATGACTAGGCATACGTAGCACATGTCCTAACCATCTCAGTCGATGTAATTTCACAGTCTCATCGATTGATTTCCCTCCTTACCTAGCACTCGACGCCTAACCTCAATATTGCTCACCTTATTATACCTCAGTATGTGGAGGTGATGGAAGGACTAACTATTCAGTCAACTTCCCATTGCTTATATCCGTACCGCACTTCAGTGAGACCTCTCCGAAACACCCATAAACTACTTGGTACGGACAAGTGTGAATAGACTTCAGTTCCTCCTTCGGAATGCAATTATGTGACCACGCGTTCATAGACTCTGTCACGTAAGTCCTATTTAGTCCCTTTATGCGGCTGGTGTGTTCTTTACAAAAGTGAAAGGGAGAATTTGAACATCTGGAGTTTACAACCGGATTGTTACATAAGCTGGTCTAACTAGGGAAGCTGTGCGTCGGTGGCATAGCGGTTAGGACGCTCACCGACCATGCACATGGTCTGGGGTTCGATCCTCGGCCGACGCACTCCTTTACCTCGCTAAGCCAGAAATAATGCTGGTGAAGAGGAAAGGTTGGGCATGAGGCTAGCAACTCCATCCTGTAAAATAAACACTGCTACAGAAACTTCAAGCCACTAGTTTGAAGCCCTATGTTCCACTGGGGAACGTGAGGAAAAAAAACTAGGGAAGCTGGAAAATCCTGATCCCAAACCTATGGTGGGATCGAACAGCGCGTATCAACCTGTTTTGGTCACAGGAAACCATGGAAATGTAACTTCTGATGCTGCTCCACTGCCTTGTGAATCAGACTTCAAGTCACACGATGGTGGGGGGGGTGGCCTCTCAGGATGACCATGTGCTTCGGTCTGGGCATCCGGGTATTACCCAGCCCTCGCACAAACGATGAGATTTTGTGCGGTGCACCTCTCGGTTCCCACGAAATACCAAGTTTTAGTTTTAATTTTCTACAACAACCCCAGGTAGGCGATTGTCTTGTAACAACAGAAGAAAAGGGCCAGGCAACAGATCGTTTATTAAGGAAAATCAACACATATTTATAGATTTCAATGTACATTATTGTAGATTATTGTTAGTAGAAAATACAGTTTTTTGATTGGTTGTTTCTCACAGAAAGTTAACCTTGCATCTCTTTGTGGCTGTGTCAGATCATCCATATGCTAACTGTATCCGCCTACGCAAAGCCTTTGTTCTCATTTTCTCACCACCAATATCGGGGACACAAACATTGACGTCAATTACTGTCTACCAACTTTGGCTAGCAGCCAGCTCTCACCACAGTCTGACTGACAGGAGTCTTCGAGATGCTACAGAACAGCGACTGACGATCGTTGGTGATATGGCTCGAAATCGTTGTCAATGATGGCGAAGATATATATACATTCAGTCTATGTAATCTCCCAGATTAAATTATTATTTTTCAAGTAATTGTTGTTTCTGTTGCGAATCTCCATTCATTAGTGTTGCTTTGGTTTTTTCTCCCCCTACTTTGTGTGCTATATGGAGTATGTGGCAAGTTGAACTACTGCACTTTTGTGCTAAGTTCTACGACACAATAACTTCTCATTAAGAATTGGAAGATATTCGTAGAACACACTAAAGAATACTACCCTGTGTAATTCCTCCTTAGAAATACTTTATCTCTCCTACCTTCACCTCTCCCATACAGTGAAGTGACATAGGAATACGTTGGAAAACAGTTAGGAGTGGTTAAATCAGAATCCTGGACCGACGTGAAGATCCTAGAAGACCTGGATTTCGCGGTGGATGATTTATGTTTCATGTCACACAAAATCGAAGACTTACAAGCAAAAACCGACAAACTGGTCGAAGAAGCAGCCAGAGAAGACAGGACTCCAGGTGAATATAGACAAGACGGAGGTTATGAAAATAACCAACCAACCAACAACAACAACAACAACAGCAACATCCAACGCCAATCAACATCAACTGGAGGGATTTGAAAGAGGTTACTTCATTCACTTATCTAGGGAGCATTGTCTCAACTACAGGCAGGTGGAACGGACGAGGATGTCAAATCGAGAATCGGGAAGGCGAGAAACACATTCATCAACCTGAAACCAATCTGGAAATCTTCGTCACTCAGTATAATAACAAAACTCGGATTTTCAATACAAACTCAGTCAAGTCAGTTCTTCTATATGGATCAGAAACTTGGCGGGTAACCAAGAATATTTTCAACAGGTTACAGACCTTTATCAACAACTGTCTTCGTTCCATACTGAAGATTAGATGGCCGGAAAGAATCACCAACAAGAAACTATGGGAACAAGCGAAACAGGAAGCAATCGCCCAACAAATATGCAGGAGAAAGTGGAGATGGATTGGAGACTCACTGAGGAGGCCGTTGAGTGACATCGCGCGTCAGGCCAATGCTCGAGTGGAACCGGAAAGGGAAGCGGCGAGTGGGACGTCCAAGGGTGACATGGAGAAGATCGTGTGATGAGGAACTGAAACAGTATGGAATAACATGGATGCAAGTGAAAAGTACAGCACAAGACAGAAGCAAGTGGAGGCGTGCAGTTGAAGCCCTATGTTCCACTAGGAACCCAAGGGAACAATAATAATAATATAATAAGTCAGAATATGGCATCAATTCATGAACTCTTTGACTGTTGGTTCAATCCAGCCACGTAAAAAGGTGAAGACTGTCTGGCTGCTCATCAGTCCGCTCTGTCCTCCTTTATGGCTGTGAGCGAGACATGGCCATTGAGAGTGGAAGACATGAAAAGATTAGCTGTCTTTGATCATAGGTGCCTGCGTTCTATCTCCCGTGTTAAGTGTTATAATAAGGTAAGCAATATTGAGGTTAGGCGTCGAGTGCTAGGTAAGGCGGGAAGGGGAATCAATCGACGAGGCCGTGAAGCTACATCGACTGAGATGGTTAGGACATGCGTTACGTATGTCTAGTCATCGCCTTCCTCGACAGGCAATGTTAGCTGACATAGGGTCAGGTTGGAAAAGAACCAGTGGTGGTCAAACCAAAACATGACTTCATCAGTCAATGAAATCCACAATAGTTAACTTAAGCCAGCCACATAGGAAGGTGTAGACTTCCTGACTAGTTGGGGTCCTCGGGACGGTAAACACCAATGACGGCTGGAGACAACTGGTGACATGGCTCAAAATCGTTCTCAGTGATGGCTGGCCCCGATGCATCCACTCCTTGTGACATTATAATTTCCAATGAAACTATATGGTTCTTCGATATTACCATTATTTTTGCTTCATATCTCTGTTTTGCATTTCTTTTACTTTCTTCTCTTGCTTTGTGTGCTACAAGGAAGGAGTGTGGCGACTTGAACTGCTGCACATCAGTGCAAAGTTCTATGTTGAAAACAGACAGACAGACTGGTTGGCTGGCTGGCTGGCTGGCTGACGTCTTCAAGACGCTAAGAATCAAAGACCGAAAACTGTTAGTAATAGACATGATCTGGAAATCGTTCTCACTAACGGTGTAGATGCATTTTACAACTTTGTAATCTCTTAGATGCATCAAGTCCTCATGTCTGTGTCCATGTGAAAACTCAGTCAGTTAGTCAATTTTTTTCCCTTCTACTTAAAATTACCTTTAATTATAAGATTGTGTGTGCATCGGTGGCGGTTAGGAGGCTCACCGACCATTCACATGGTCCAGGGTTCGATTCCCGGCCTTTACCTCGCTAAGCCAGAAATAAAAAAGCTGGTAAAGAGGAAAGGTTAGGCATGAGGTGGCTAGCAACCCCATCCTGTAAAAATAAACACTGTTACAGGAACTTCAAGCTTCTATCTGGAAGCCCTATGTTCCACTGGGAACGTATAGGAATAATAAAAAAATAAGATTGTGTACTTACTTGATTTCATTTTGATCATTCAATTTCATTAGAAGCATATAAGCTCGAAATTCTGCTTCATTAGGACATAAATGTTCAGAAGACGATGAAAACGAAGATGATGATGTGAGCTGATGACGCTGATGAAGAATTTAACATCTCTAAATCACTGTACATTTCTTTTAATGTCTGTAAACACTGTGTTAAATTCTCTGAATTAATACGTGGATCAAAACTATCCACTGGTTGATCGACTAGACGTGCAGCACAGAATATATGAAATCTTGCTATCCGTTCAATAACACTGATAACAATTGGACAGCATAAATTTTGCTGACGTATATCTTTACGTATAGCACGTGTACGTGTCCACATAAATTCATACCATGGTTTCCAAAGACTACGTGTAGTGTCAATCTCTGGTCGATCAGCTATAGTAGCTAATAAATAAGCCATTGTACGTTGTAATACATGTGTTGGACGTAATTCTCTTGGTAAAGGAACTGGTTGATCAGCTGATGAACGTTGATAGTCTTTGACAGCTCGTGTATGATCCATCTCCCAACTGGATGAATTCGAACTTAGTGTTGACGGTAAACATTCAAATATCTATTAATAAAGAAATTAACAGTATTTATTATTATAATTAGCTATTCGTCTATAGTTACAGTTAAAAAATGTGTTGCGATAATGAAAGTATGCTTGTATAACTCTAATAGTGCATCGATGTTTCAATGGTAGAATGCTCGCCAACCATGCAGACGTAATCCGGGTTCGATTCCCGACAAACGTACTACTGCTAAACCTCGCTTAAAACGCCAGTAAGCCAGGAAAACAGGAAAGATTGGGTTGTTGGGCTAGCAACTCTACCCTCATAAAACAAAACAAAATATCATTGCTAATTAAACTTGAAGGCTTGAGTCTCTATGCTTTACTCGCGATGCAAAAGGAATGAAAAATATAACACCAATAAAGTAAATGATACGAACATCTTGCGTCCCACACAATCTCATCGAATTAAAGTACGCACAGGTCATCTTAAGTTTCATTATTTATCACTACGATGCTTTAATTATCTAATGCTATCAAGGTGAACCTTGATCCTGATACTTCCAAAGTATGCCCTTAGTTCAATAACAGAACACCTCGTGAACTCAGGACATTCAGAGACATTGGAGAAATTCTTCAAAGTCTCATACAAGATCCTATTCAACCTGTCAAATGAAATGAAACCAAGACATATAAGCATAGTTGAAGCCCTAGCAAATAAAAAAACTTCAACCCTATGCTGTGTAACCAGAAGAATGACATGCAAGTTTTACCTTTAACTGGAAATTGCTTTTTGGGACATTATCACCACTGATGTAATAAGTTCACAAATTCACCGCCTAGTTGATGACATCGTCAAAAAGAAATTTTTTGGTTACAGGATTTCATCATGAGCTGACATTGGTTAGAGAATCATTGGAAAACCTGGAAGTACTGGACAGTCGTTCCGTCCTAATTTGGGACTCTCCAGTAGTACGCGCCGGAGTTCGAACCCAGGACTTTCTGGTAACAAGGCGAGCTCGTATACCATTAAGCCACTGGGACCCGATCCAATGGCCAACCCATGAATTCTAACTTCTGCCAATTCACTATATAGCGCAACCGCTAGCCAATGTCTTCGGCGAGTATTTGTCCTCACACCCGACCTGCTGCACCCTACTGGTCACGACTTCCCACTGGAACCCCAGGTAACTACCTACCTGAATAGGGCCAATCGCCAGCGAGCATCTCACTGATATTAAAGTATTGGTTTGTAGTGATTTGGTTTTTTCTTCGCTGCAAATGTTTTGTTTTTTTTTGTTTCTCCTGTGATGTAATTAATATCCCCTATGTGGCGACTTGAACTGCCGCACATATGTGCAAAGTTCTATGTCGAAAACAGACAGACAGAATATCCCCCTACTATTTAAAAAGTGTTACACAGTTCGAAGAAAGTGTAACTTTACAGGTAGCCCTACACTGCAAACATACTAGGAAAACAATGCAATCTAGTAATTGCCAACAGATTAATTCATGGGATTAAGGCGACCAGCAACCATGGGAACGCAGCTCGTGACGCTCTGTTCCACTGCTCTGTGGACCAGTGTTCAAAGGTTCTGAAGGTGGCTACTTAGGACAACCACTTAATGTGATCTGAAAGCCCGGGCACTATCCGGGCCTCCATACAAACTAAGCACGCCTAATTTTCTCGAATTTACACGCACCGTATAACCTTCAAATGACTATGAACATGGCATTAGTCAAATTGACGTAGTGTGCTTATCACAAGAAGCTTCACCTGTTTCCTTACAAACTAGATTAACTTACGATCCAGTAGAAATTAACTTATGCTCTCTCATACTATTTGTTTAATAATTACTGACAGCAGTGCTTCCGCATTTCTGGAATTAAATCACGACGTCTTGTAGCCTTGTCGTCTTGTTTCTGATTTAAAACAACGTTTGCTAATTCAGCCAGGGTTACTGGAACAATATATGATTCCCACTTAGACTGGATGATGAGCAACCGTTGTACCGCTACAGGCAAGCCAAACTTGTAGTACAATTCTAGCAAACCTTCCAGTTATCTATCCTGGGAATCTATTACAGTCCTACTGAGAATTCACGTCTCGCATGTTGCAGGCTTTTAAGAACTCGAACTCTAAAAGAGTTGACAAGTTTACGTTAACCCAATAGGAATTGTAGTCGTTAGGATGGCTTTTAGTTTATTATGCTTACACAGCTTTCGCGTGGCACAGCGATTAGGACTCTCACCGATCATGCACATGGTCCGAGGTTCGATCCCCTGCCGGTGCACACCTGATATCAATAGTCGGCCTGCAAAATTTAAGCTACCGATATAACATGCTGAAAATTTGATAATTGTACCAAAAAGACGCTGTGGAATCAAGCTATAATCAAAATAAAATATAAAATAAAAATAAATTTTATTGTGACAACTACATTGATTAATGTAGAGCTATAGATGAGGATCTAGTTGAAAAGGAAATATTTCTTCGCTCATTCTTTTTCACTTATATTTAAACAATAAAAACACTAAATGATAATATGCGGGTCCCACTCGACAATCTCATGCATTGTCGGGTAGCTGGCAATGAGCCACACCTATTTTGCGAGGGTTGGCGATATTACCTGGTTGTTGTCCAAACCTCGGTAGGTGGAGCAAGATACGAAACCCGCAACCCTACAGTTGCAAGTTGAGAGTTTCTGTCTGTCTGTCTGGATTCAACATAGAACTTGGCACCGAAGTGCAGCAGTTCGAGTTACCACGTTCCAAATAGCACACAAAGGTAGACAAGAAAATGACTGAAGAGAATCAATAGAATTTTGACAAGTATAAGAGTGAAACAGAATGAGTAATGGTAGAAAGGAATATGAAAGATTACAGAGACTGAATACATCTGCGTAAGCCATTGACAACGATTTTGAGCCATGTCACCTATTATCTCCAGCCATTGATTCTTAGAGTCCCGAGGGTGGGCCCCAACCCTGAAGTCTGCATCTCCCTCCCTACCTGACTCAGTTTAACTGTCAAGGATTTCATGGATTGATGAGGCAATGTTTTTGTTTGGCCACCACTTACTCTTTTCCAACCTGGACCTATATCAGCTAGTAATGCCCGTCGAGGTGGGGGAGGCGATGGTTAGGCATGCCCATCACGTGACCTAGCCATCTCAATCTATGTAACTTTATAGCCTCGTCGATTGATTTTCCCTCTTTGCCCAACACTCTACGCCTAACGTCAACACTACTTACCTTATTATACCACCTAACGTGAGAAGGAGATCGTAGAGATGTATGATCAAAAACAGTCAACCTTTTCATGTCTTCAACTCGTATTGGCCATGTTTCAGAACCATAGAGAAGGACGGAGCGAACTGCTGAGCAGTACACACGTCCTTTGGTTGATAGCCGGATCTCACGCCTACGCCAGAGACGGTGAAAGTTAGCGAAAGCAACCCGAGCTTTTTGGATCCGTGCTGAGATTTCGTCTCAGAGTTTGAGAGTTTAGCCCAATTAGCCACAACTTGAGTCAGATATTGCAGCAATACAGAAACACACAGAGATACACCTAGTTTCCAAGTTTGAAATACGAATATTTTATGAAAAATAAAGTATACTTTCAATGAAACAAAAAAAAAAGAAAGAAATAGGGTACTTACAGATACACGCTGATGAACAGCTCGTAAATAACGTTCCAGTTCAGGACACATATCTTCGCATGTACCTTTTATAGGAGCATGATGAATTGGCTCATCTGTATTACTACTATTATTATTATGGTATGCAACTGAATACTGGTTAATTGAATCAGTTGACTTTGATCGTAATTCACAATCACGTTTATAGTATTCCTGTAGCAGAGACAATCGTTCCTCCAGTGTGACAGCATAAACAGACTTCTGAGGAAATAAATTATTGTTATTATTATTATGAATAGGTGTATTTGGTAAGGAAATAGGCGATATTATTGATTGTGTACTGTATACTGTTTGAGATAATGAGGGTAGTGGTGGTAACAGTGAGGCTGACGTTGACGCTGGAACTGGTGGCTGGGGTAATGGTAATAAAGACGATGATAAAGTTTTAGTGACGACTTCAGGACTCGAAGTCACCGGTGACTGATTATCATCACTTGAGTCCATTACACTAGAAAATTGTTTTTTATTTGCAATTGGCTTCGTGTGCTAGAAAATAAAAGAAAGAAAGAAAATTAGTAATAATTAAAGATTTCTACAGATAAATAACAAGTGTTATAATGTCAATCTGATTATCCCATTTCCTTACAAAGTCAATCGGTCAATTGTTATCAGCCTGAGAAACAGTGTTACTGTATAATGGTATTAATTATTGTCCTCTCAGGCTCCGAGTGAAACACAGAGCTTCCACACCACATCTCCACTTTGTCTTGTCTGACGTTAAAAGCTCCTATATGAAGTTGGCGACGTGGCTTTAAAAGGCTATCTGGGGTGTTTCTATGGCTCTCATCGTTGTTTGTGGTCGCAGAGTGAAGTGAAGATGACTCACTAGCCTGCAGAATAGTGCTAACTGTAGCAGAGAAGCAAAATGAGGAAGGTGATGTGAATAAAGGAGAATGATGCTCAGGAAGGCTTCGTGTGCTTTTGGAAGTGTGTGGGCGGTTGTTACTTCCCGGCTGCCCACACCGTGGAAGTTGATTGATTCTTCGTGAACCTGAAACAGAAAGTGTTGCGTGACCGCAGAGCCCAGGGGACAGCTGCTTGAGACCGGTCACACGCGGCCTGTTTTTGTTTGTTCTTTTTTGTTTGGTGTGTCTCAGTAGCATATTTATCACTTCTGCCCTGTGACACGGCAGCAGGAAGCGCGGTCGTTGTTAATCCGGGCCCCGACCGATCCGGCATGATATTTAGTGAATTTGTTTGAATCATAGTATTGGATTGGGTAGCTGCTTTTTGTCTAACCGCTATCCAAACAACCTTTCTGGCATGGTAGGACCTACAGGAACATAAGTTTCAGCCAGTGTAGCTCGTTGGGTCATTGCGATATGCAAGCCCGACCACCACGTCAAGGTAGCAGCTATCGGTCGGGCCACTTTGTCCTATTATCTGTTGTTCCATTTAGCTGGGCCCACGATTTCCCATAGTATCTGATCTCCTCCATGGCTCTCTCAGATGCCCCACTCGTCGTTTCCCATTCGGGTTCCACTCAAGGGTCTTCTCAGTTTAGTGGTATGAAGTACCACAATTTCATATATGTATACCACGTAGAACGTAAAGCAAGGGAAATAAAATATGGTCAGGTAGTAGTGTGGTGAGAGCTTGTCTGCTAGCCAAAATTAATAGAAAGCAATTTACGTCATTGTTCACGTCCCAAATCTTGGTCAGGAGAGAAAACAAGAACAAAGACTAACTCAACTGCCAATCACAGCAGACGTAGCGTGGGCGGATCCGATTAGCATACATATATATATATATATATATATATATCAACGGACTGTCTATGAGACGGCAACAAAGAGATGATAGAATAACCGTCAGCAGGAAAACAACCAATCAGAAGACGTTGCTTCTCTGCTAACAATAACGAATAATAATGTACATCAAAATCTATAAATATCTGTTGATTTTCTCAATAAACGATCTGTTGCCTGGCTCTTGTCTTCTGTCGTTACAATAGTAGGATTGTGGTAAAACAGACGAAGAAAGGTATGAATGTATTTATGTTCCTGTGAATGATATTGGTCGATATCATCATTATCATCATACTCTTCAATCATAGTTCCTTGTGCACAAAAATCCAAACAACTTGTACCTATAACATCAAACACACATAGTTAGTGACTTTATGAATGGGTATAATACCCTTTGTCAGATGGCTCGCTAATAAAGTGCACTAAAGTGGATAATGGACAGACAAGTAAAACGCACTACCTGGCCACCTTAGAATATATCCTACCTAAGACTATAAACCTAACCTGTCTATCTATAGCCCACACACACACACACACACTCGATGGTACTCACCAAACGCAAACGATAGTATGAAGAAAACATTTATCAAATAATTGAACTCCTTTGAGGCTCTTTTTTTCGTAGTGGTCATCTTCCAAAGATGACGACAGATGACGACACAAAACATTAGTGCACAGCAAACCCAACCTTTCGTTTCACAGCATAAGTGGAGAAATTTTACGAGAGTTAAAAGAATATTCCCTGTGTTTTCTTTTTTCGTCGGTTATCCTGAGGTAAAAACCATCAACAAGTTCGTAGAATAGGCAGCGAAGACAGAATTTCAAATGAGCATAGAGAAGGCAGAGATGACGAAGATACCTAACCAACAACCACAACAAGTACAAATCACTATGAACAGGATACATAAAAAGGAAGTCGCCTCTTTCATTTGCCTAAGCAGCATCATTTCAAGTACACAATCGGAACAGATGAGGCTGTCGAAGGCAGGATTGTGAAAGCAAGATGCACCTTCATTAATCTGGAACCATGATATCTCTGGACATAACATCGTTATTCACAAATGTACCTCTAATAGAAACAGTTAATTATATATGTGAACAAGTGGACAAGCAGTCGATAAACATTGGAATCCATATTGAAATCCTAAAAGAATTGATATTAAGATGTACCATGAATGTAAACTTCAAATTTGACGGTACGCTTTACAGGCAAGTGGACGGGGTGGCAATGGGCTCCCCATTAGGTCCAATTCTGGCTGATTTCTTTCTAAGTAAGCTAGAAAATGGACCTCTGAACAACCTTATCAGTAAGCTATCATTTTATTGCCGATATATGGATGACACCATTCTTTGTGATAATGGTTCCGATAGGAGTACATTAATTACTGAATTCAATGAAGTACATTCGGCTATGAAATTCACATGCGAAGAGGAATCCCAAGACAGAATTGCCTTCCTGGATGTCCTACTTACAAGAAAACCAGACGGTAGCATAAAAAGAAATTTACATAGAAAAAGCACTTGGACGGGACAATATACACACTTTCATAGCTTCGTTCCCATCAAATACAAAAGGAATTTGGTGAAGACCCTTAGCCACAGACTTATAGCTATATGCTCTGAAGAAGTAATTAAAGATGAATTAAGCATGGTATATGATACTTTAATCTAAAATGGTTATCCTGACAAATTTATCAAGAAACATATGACAAAGAAGGCCGAAAATGACTGCCCACTATCTGTAAACAAGAAGCCCCTTTATATACGACTACAATTCAAGGGCGATAAACCAAGTGAGTTAATTACAAAGAAATTAAGAAAATCAGTCCAAAGGACTTTTAATGCTGGCGAACTACACATCTTATTCTCTACAAGACCGATGGTGCTACCTCGACTGAAAGATCAAGTACCTATACTAGCCACTTCAAATTGTATTTATCAATTTAACTGCGCTTGTGGTGGAGCGAGTTATGTTGGCCGTTGCTCTAGGAACTTGATTTTTCGTGCTCGAGAACATATCCCACTATGGCTAAGTAAAGGTGTAGTTAAAACTATTAACAGCTCGATATAAGACGATCTCGTGGAAACCGGTCACAAAGCCAGCGTAGACGAATCCTTCTCCATAATATACCGGGTGCCTAACAAACTACCAAAATCGTCGAAGCACCGCTTACTCCAAACAGCAGAGGCTATTGCAATTCGCCTCAAACAACCAGCGCTCTGTGTCCAAAAGAAACAAGTCCAGCCCCTACTACTGCCCTGGCCCTCAGTAGAGACTATAAACTCATGAATTTGTACCATTACCTTTCCTAAATCTTCTGACATTCAGTTTATTTGATGTTGATGCTGTTCAGCTGTAATTTATCAATATTATTGATTTGGTGTTATTTAAGCATTAATGTCGTTCATAAGACTAATCATTCATTCATTCATTATAATGTATATATAATTGTAGAACCTGATGATGAATTTATCGAAAAGAGTTCTCTTTGTTCAGTTCCGTGTCTATTCTTTTGAAAATTTTAATGGGCATTTTTAATCAATCTGGAATTAGTTTGGAAATCTACTTCAATTGGCATAGAGAATAAGATCCAGATTCTCAACACTAATATAAAATCAGTTCTTCTGTATAGATCAAAAACTTAGTGTGTCACTAAAAGTATTTCCAACAGGCTTCAGACTTTCTTCAACAACTGACTTCGATCCATACTGAAGATCTGGTGGCCAGAAAGCATTAGCAACAAAGGACTCTGACAACTAACCAACCAACAGCTTATTGTGCAACAAGTATCAGGAAGAAAATGGGCTGATAATGTGCACCAGACAGACCCTAGAGTGGGACCCGAAAGAGAAACGATGAGTTGGAGATGGGTCTGAAGGTGAGACGGAGGAGGAGATCATGTGAAGAGGGAATGAAAACTTATGCGCAACTGCAAAATGAAATGAAGATGTGGTGCTGAAGCCCTACAAACAATATAATAATAATAATAATAATAGTAATCGATAATGAACAACTATCAGCTACACCTGACAGACAATCAATACACCAATCGATTAAAATATAGATTATATGAATTATAAGATAGAGAGAGAGAAAAAAAAGCAAATAAGAATTCACTTACTGTTCGTGATAAAATCGGTCTTTTTAAACCAGATGTACGTGCTGAGGATAAGTGTGACTTATTATTACTGCTAATCATACTAAAACTACTGGTAGAACCCAATTTAGGCGATGATCTTGAACCGGAATTGCTAAATCGACGACATCGTGACATTGTTAAGAGAACAGTGCTCGGTAGGCCACCATCATCAGGTGAGACAGGCTCTCGTCCTAATCGTTTAGCTCGACTTGCAGATGACTAAAAATATTTTTTGAAAAATAAGAAAAGAAAAATCAAAAGTGTGTGTATAAGATTGTCTGCTGAAGGCAACATAAACAAAAAGCAATTTATCTTGTGTATCACTAGATCACTAATTATCCTTACCAATAGGACAAAATAAAACATAAATTACAACAAGAATAGGACTAGGCTCAACACTAAAAGAGCCAAATAGCGAGAAAGCGGGTGATAATAATGACGGTAATTATTTTAGGATATTCACGTATTGGTCAATTTTTAAATTAGAACCAAACAGGCGATAATGAAATCTTCTCAAGCTAAATTACATTTTTTTCATTCCTTCACGTTCCCAGTGGAACATAGGGCTTCAAGCTTGTGGCTTGAAGTTTCTGTAGCAGTGTTTAATTTTTTACAGGATGGGGTTGCTAGCCTCATGCCCAACCTTCCCTCTTCACCAGCATTATTTCTGGCTTAGCGAAGTAAAGGAGTGAGTCGGCCGGGGATCGAACCCCGGACCATGTGCGTGGTCGGCGAGCATCCTAACCGCCATGCCACCGACGCACTTAAATTACATTGATTGACACTTATTAATAATACACTAGTGTTAACTGATAGGAGTGAATCCTGACTGAATATTAGTGCATGTTGAAACTATAATTCATTGACTGTCATAGTCAACTTTATAGAACTACATATATACATAGAATCTGCCCCGGTTGTTGACTCTCAATCAGTAAATCACACGCTTAAAGTTGGCTACTTCTCTTCTCATTCCTTTGCTCTCCAAGTGAGACACTGGGCTTCAAGCTTGAGCTGTGAAGTTTCAGTAGCGGCGATGTTATCTTTAACGGGTAGGACTGGCTAGCCAGTCTCACGACCAACCTTCCCAATTCACATGGCTTACGACTAGCTAGGCGAGGTTGAAGCGCTCGCTTGACCGTGAATCGAGTGCGAACTACTTGCGTGGTTGGCGAGCTTTCTGCCACCGAATAACCGAGTGGCGCATGTAGAGACAGTTAGATAGCACTAATATCTGTTGAACAGTGTGTACATTATACATGGTTAGGCGAAACATGGATCTAATCTATGAAGATTTTTAACTTTTGAAGTCAAGTAGGTTGGCATAGACTCCCTACCTAAGGCTTTCCGGATGCTAAGAACCAATGGCTGGAGACTGTTTAAGACTTGGCTGAAACTTTTCCTCAGTGGTGTAAATGTATTTATTTCTTGTCATTATCCAAATTGTAAAAACACTCACTAATCGTCATTTAATTATTCTCTTTCTCCCTCTCTCTTCCGTACATCTCTGTCCATTGTAGTTTCATTACACTTCTTTCTTCTCTGTGATAAATAAAATAACTTGAACTGCTGCAATTCTGTGTAAATTTCTATGTTAATAAGTCAATCAGTTAAGTATGCTTTACAAAATAGCATACTGATAAGGTATACAACTGATGGGCAACTATGCCTACTCACTGGACCACATTCCTAGAAAAACTTCAGTTACATAGAGAAACCATTGGTTTGTGAATTAAACATTACAGGTTAAGTCGTGTAGTACCACGCAGTTGTACAAGCCACAACGCTTCTAGTAGAACTTGAACCTGTAACTTGCTGCATGAGTTGATAAACTGTCTGTGAATGCAATGAAAAACCCCACCTTCAGATAAATACGATTTGACATACAACCTTAAATTCAGTTTTTACATTAATCTAAGTGAAATTCATTAATAACAGACATCTAGTCTATTTATAATTAGGTCAGTGAAAGAAATAGGTAACAAAGTGTCGCCACTAACCATACTGAATAACAGTAACAGAATTGTTCATTTACAGGTATATTCAATAGCCTTGTGGTCTAATCACACTCGACTTTAGATCAACTTTAGATCAGCGTCTCGAACCACACTCAAGGGTTTCCAGTGGTTATACAACAGGTGTGACACACACTTAATGCATAAACATTTGATTAGTGATTTACAGTTGAACAATAAATTAAGATTAAACATACATGATGTGAAATCTAAGTGATGATTCGAAATACTAAGACAAGTTATGAGTCACCCGTGTTGTGTAACAGCTGGTGGCGTAAACTAGTCTCTCAAACCAAAGTAAATGGAATGGAACTCAGAGGTTGCTGCTGCTGCTGCTGGATTCAACATAGAACTTGGCACCGAAGTGCAGCAGTTCCAGTTGCCACGTTCCAAATAGCACACAAAGGTAGACAAGAAAATGAGAGAAGAGAATCAACAGAATTTAGATAAGTATAAGAGTGAAACAGAATGAGTAATGGTGGAAAGGAATATGAAGTAGAGGCGGGTATATATATATATATATTATCCAAAATTCAATAGCCTAAGAGCTAATAAGCTACATTTCACTATCTGTATCCATTGTATTTACACAGATTTTCATAAACTAAAAGAAATGTTAGCTAAAATTCCATTTGAAAATGATCTATTATCATTATTACATGACGACGTGGTGTTCTATCCCCCGCCTTACAGTGATGTACAATCATGAAAAATATCGAGATTAGGAGTAAAGTATTTGGTTAGGAAGAGAACTCAATCGATGAGGCTATGAAGCTACATAGATTGAGGCGGCTAGAACATGTGTTACGCATGCCGATTCACCCGTTTCCTCAATGAGCAATGTTAGCTGACATACGATGCGCCAGATGTATGGCGCAGATGTATTCAGTCTCTGTAATCTTTCATATTCCTTTCTACCATTACTCATTCTGTTTCACTCTCATACTTGTCAAAACTCTATTGATTCTCTTCACTCATTTTCTTGTCTACCTTTGTGTGCTATTTGGAACGTGGCAACTCGAACTGCTGCACTTCGGTGCCAAGTTCTATGTTGAATCCAGACATACAGACATAGGATTAGGCTGAAAAAGAGTAAGGAGTAGTCAAGCCAAACTATGCCATCAGTCCACAAAATCTTTTACAGTTGGTTTGAGCAAACCACGTAAGTAGTCGTAGACTGCTTAGTTGGAGTCCTTGATATGGTAAGAACCAATGGTTGGAGACTATTGGTGATATAACTCAAAATAGTTGTCAGCAGCACAGATGCATTCACTCTATGTAATCTCTTAAATCCTTTAAATCCTTATATTTTCCATGTCACTATTCTTTCTCCCATACATTTCTGCTTACTACAGTCCTATTGAATTTCCTTTTAGTCTCTTTTCTCTATCTTTGTGCACTATATGCAGTGTGGCAACTTTAAGTGTTGCACTTCTATGCAAAGTCCTATGTTGAAACTCAATCAGTCAGTTAAATGATGCAGAGTTAATCAAATGTTTAAATTTCCTTTTTTTTCCCTACTATTATATTATTACCCTTATAATTAGGTAATCTTAAATTTTGTATAAGCGAAAATTTAAAAAAATAATGAACAGAAAGCCACTGACCACTGAATCAAAAGCGACATAGGCACTATCCAATGATGGTTGGCAAATAATTCGTTCAATTCGACCAAAACGTTGAAATTGATTTTGAAGATAAGCTTTTGTATTATTTCCGATTGGCAGACGGGATAATTTAACTGCAGGCCAATGGGTTTGGTCAACACTTTGTATGTCGTTTGAATCTGAACATTTTGCATAATTGTCGAAGTCTTCAGGAGAGTCTAAATCTGGTAAAAAGTTAAAACATAAACAAAGGTTTATTCATAAGGCAAGAAAATAGCAGAACAATGCTAGATAACAAAACGAACTGTTATAGGCGCCATACTGTTATCCAAGATTCTCTATTAAACCACATCCTATTGAAGTTAGTTTGAATTCCGTTACTTAAACAATATGAATATCATTTAGCAGTTTTTCTTTTTGGCTTATTAAACTTTAAACTATACAGTGCTTAAGTTGGATAACTTTTCAATTTGTGGAAAAGCATTTGGAAAGCTAGTACTAACGATTATTGAAGACACGTCAAATATGAATTACCAACTGATGCATTGGTTGCAGAACACTTACCACAGGTAGATCCCACATCGAAAATTCCATTATGGGTAAATTTTATTTTTATAGAGTCTCACAGTGTTATACAGTAATATTTACTGATGACGTTTCGAGCACAATTTATTGCTCATAATCATATCAAGTTAATCACACGACTTCCTAAATTCATTTATATAGTTCCATTGTTTTTCACTTGATTTTCACTTGATTTGATTGGTAGTATTATTTTCCATATCTCGGGTATGAGTGATGATTCATTCCTATTGCATGTGTTGGGTGTAGATTCGATGAACAAAGATTCAGTAATCAACCTCTCTCTCCACCTACCTAGATTACTTTTTAGAATTTTAACCCTCTCCCACCCTATTGTGTGGTTGTGTGTTAATGCATGCATTGCAATTGCCGAGCTTTTTTCTAAATTACTTATCTTCTCTGGGTCAACCATTCTTACCTTAGCTAAATTCTTATGTTCTGACAATCTGACTACCCCTGACCTACTAGTTTGACCTATGTAGTTGACCTACTCACAGTCATTGCAGGGTATTTTGTAAATTATATTATTTCGTCTAATTGGGTCCACTGGGTCCTTTAACCTACAGAGCTTGTCCCTGAGTGAGTTTGTAGGTTTAAATGCCACCCTAATTCCTGCTTTATTTAGAATCCTACGTAGGGTCTCAGATGTCCCCTCTTTATATGGTATAACTGTAGATGACTTATATTCTCTCTTATTTATGTTATTATTACTAGTTTCACAATTATTTTTATTTTTATTTTGGCCTTTTTCAATCTTCCTAATGAATTTTAGAGGATAGTTATTTAAAACCAACGCCTCTTCTATCTGTTTTATCTCATCATTTAGGTCTTTTTTTGTGCTACTTAGTGCCATTGCTCGGTTTGTTAAACACTTAACTAAGCCTGCCTTAACAGTTAAAGGATGAGATGAATTAAAGTCTAAATATCTATTAGAATGCGTTGGTTTTCTATAAACACTAGTGTGTAGTTTACCTTCTTCTATTCGTTTTATTTTACAATCTAACATAGCTAATTCTCCGTGCTCATTTTCGGTTTCAAATGTGAATTTTATTCCCTCCACTAGTGAGTTTATGTGTGTCAAGAAGCTAGAGATATGTTCTGTTTTTAACACTGTGAAAGTGTCATCCACATATCTCCACCATATTTTTGGAGTAGGATTAAACGTATTAAGTGCCATATTTTCCCAGCTATCCATAAATATATCTGCTACGATAGGGGATATTGGTGATCCCATTGCTACACCTTCAGTTTGTCTACATATTTTGCCTTGGAATCTAAAGATAGTAGATGTGAGGCATAGCTGAACCCCTAAAAATAATTTCTTCAATGGACAGCTTTGTCCTATGATTGAGTTCAGTATCCGCAGTTAGTTCTTTTTTAACTGCTTCTAAGGCCATATTGACTGGTATATTAGTATAAAGACTGGTTATATCAAAACTAACCATTGTTTCATCATTATCTAGTTGTATGTCATTTAGTTTATTTTTCATTTCATATGAATTAGTTAGTCTAGAATTTGAACGATTTCTAATGGGACATAATGTTAGAGCTAAATGTTTTGATAATTTAAACCTACATTTAAACCTACAAACTCACTCAGGGACAAGCTCTGTAGGTTAAAGGACCCAGTGGACCCAATTAGACGAAATAATATAATTTACAAAATACCCTGCAATGATTGTGAGTCAGGTCAACTACATAGGTCAAACTAGTAGGTCAGGAGTAGTCAGATTGTCAGAACATAAGAATTTAGCTAAGGTAAGAATGGTTGACCCAGAGAAGATAAGTAATTTAGAAAAAAGCTCGGCAATTGCAATGCATGCATTAACACACAACCACACAATAGGGTGGGAGAGGGTTAAAATTCTAAAAAGTAATCTAGCTAGGTGGAGAGAGAGGTTGATTACTGAATCTTTGTTCATCGAATCTACACCCAACACATGAAATAGGAATGAATCATCACTCATACCCGAGATATGGAAAATAATACTACCAATCAAATCAAGTGAAAATCAAGTGAAAAACAATGGAACTATATAAATGAATTTAGGAAGTCGTGTGATAAACTTGATATGATTATGAGCAATAAATTGTGCTCGAAACGTCATCAGTAAATATTACTGTATAACACTGAGACTCTATAAAAATAAAATTTACCCATAATGGAATTACACTCTACCACAGTGCCCAAGTTTTATTCTTATATCCCACATCGAAAACAATGAAATCTTTGTAACAAAATGTAAACACGTAACATCTTGTTTAATTCTAGTCGGTTATCTGTCGACAATAAAATAACGTCAGGAACAATCGCAGAAAAAGGAAAAGTAACATACTCAAGCAAGTAGTAAACACAGGATGCCTGGTGTAACAGAACTACTAACTAATTCAATCAGCTGTACAGGTGTGTCCATAAGAGAGGAAAACTATCAATTATAATAGAAAGAACCGATGCATCCATGTGTTCTAATCAGAAAACAATGAATGGAGGAGGCGAATTTTTCAATCAGCACCTGAGTAACGGTTCTATATGAACAAATTGTAGTGAATTAATCTACTGGTTAAAAGTCATTTACAAATAATCTATCAATCTAAGGATATTAAAGAAGTGATACGAATCGAAAAAATTGACTAAATAATCAGTATTCACAATGTAAAATTGTCCCGACCGAAAGCTGCTACCTTGACGTGGTGGTCGGGCTTGAACACCGCAATGACCCAACAAGCTATACTGGCTGGAGCTTATGTCCCTGTAGGTCCTACCATGCCTCCCCGCCATCCAGCACACACCCGAATGGGATATAGACATTGGTCCACCGTCTGTGAGATCACAAAAGCGGCAGGACCGGACGGAATTATTCCGGAGGTGTTTAAATATGGGGGTGATATACTAGTATATAGTTTAACTAAGGTACTAGGTAACGTCTGGGAATCAGAGACGGTTCCATCAGATTGGGGTAAGTCACTTATTATACCAATATTCAAGAAGGGAGACAAGTCCTCATGTGACAATCATAGAGGAATCAGCCTGACGAACATAGTCTCTAAAATCCTAGGCTCAGTAATCATGCACAGACTAAGCCGAACTCGGGAGAAACAAACGAGGGAAAATCAAGCGGGCTTTAGGCCAGGTAGAGGGTGCATAGATCATATCTTCACTCTCCGACAGATCCTAGAACATAGACACACTCTTAGGAGTCCAACAATTGCCATATTTCTTGACTTGAAGGCGGCCTTCGACTCCGTGGACCGACAGGTACTGTTGCAATGTTTGACTGTCAAGGGAGTGCCAAGAAAGTACATTGCACTAATCAAGGCACTCTACTCAAACTCACGTAACCGTGTAAGGGCTTATGGGGAATTGTCATCTGAATTGATAACAACCAATGGTGTCCGTCAAGGATGTCCGCTTTCCCCCTTTTCTGTTTAACTTCATCATAGATATGCTAATGGAAGTATCCTTAACTGAACTTAACGACTTAGGAATCGACTTGTTACCAGGGAATAGTCTTATGGACTTAGAATATGCAGACGACATAGTCCTGTTAGGAGAGGACGCTGAGAAAATGCAGAGTCTTCTGAACACCTTGAGCAGCAATCTTCGTATGTTTCGCATGCGATTCGCCCCTGTAAAATGTAAGATGCTGCTACAGGACTGGACTACGTCAACTCCTAGCTTAGTGATAGGGAGTGAAGTGGTAGAACATGTTGACCACTTCACCTATTTGGGAAGTTGTATCAGAACCAACGGATTGATTAGCGACGAAATCTCAGCACGGATCCAAAAAGCTCGGGCTGCTTTCGCTAACTTACACCGTCTCTGGAGTAGGCGTGACATCTGGCTATCAAACAAGGGACGTCTGTACTGCTCAGCAGTTCGCTCCGTCCTTCTCTAGGACTCTGAAACATGGCCAATACGAGTTGAAGACGTGAAAATGTTGTCTGTTTTTGATCACAGATGTTTACGATCTCTTTCTCGCGTTAGGTGGTATAATAAGGTAAGTAATGTTGACGTTAGGCGTAGAGTGTTGGTTGGGCAAGCAGGGAAAATCAATCGACGAGGCTATAAAGTTACATAGATTGAGATGGCTAGTTCACGTGCTGCGCATGCCTAACCATCGCCTCCCCCGACGGACGGGCATTACTAGCTGATATAGGTGCAGGTTGGAAAAGAGTAAGTGGTGGCCAAACAAAAACATGGCCTCATCAATCCATGAAATCCTTGAAAGTTAAACTGAGTCAGGTAAGGAGATGCAGACTTCCGGGTTGGGGCCCTCGGGACTCTAAGAATCAGTGGCTGGAGACAATAGGTGACATGGCTCAAAATCGTTGTCAATGGCTTACGCAGATGTATTCAGTCTCTGTTATCTTTCATATTCCTTTCTACCATTACTCATTCTGTTTCACTCTTATACTTGTCAAAACTCTATTGATTCTCTTCACTCATTTTCTTGTCTACCTTTGTGTGCTATTTGGAACGTGGCAAATCGAGCAGCTGCACTTCGGTGCCAAGTTCTATGTTGAATCCAGCCAGCCAGCCACCCATGTAAAATTGTAAAGTTTCAAAAGAAGTGTTGTGTGACTGACAGTTTGTGTAGTTATGATTATAGGAGAAACAGTGATCGTTCCTGGGTAATAGTTAGAACTTAACTAGAACTCAAACACGCTGTGAAGCACACTTCAATGTATGACAGCTGATGATATCATTTACTTGTCCAGGCTGAAGTAAGTGGATTCGAGTTCGAACACGTAACTTAGAGGCTGGAAGTAGAGTATTAAATTAGTAAGCCACATTTCTAGTCTTCTACAAACTCCAATGAGGTATGTGCGTTTGATGCTGTATGATACCCTCTACATAACTGCAGTTTCTGTTCCTTAAATTCAGAGAAGTGAGAAAAATAGGAACAGCCAGTTTTAAAAAATAAAGCTTGAATGAGTTGAAGGGATATTTAACTTGATCGGTTTACTCATGAATTAAAATTGTGCCAAAGTCCATAGTAGGAAGAAAAGCTGAAAAAAATTTCAACGTAAGCTTACCCCTTCGTGCACCGACACTTGAATTAATATTTACTGTCAAAGGTGTACTATGCTGACCTTGTATGGGATTGCTATTACTTGGAGAAGGATTAAATAAGTTTCCTGATTTAACACCATTTTCGTCAGATTTCTGGTTCGATGTGAATCCAAAAGTTGGTATTCCACACTCAGTTTTGGATTCCGTAGTTGACGCTGTTAACATGCCAAAAAGTCCAGTATCAGAAGGTTTATTATCCCGTGTAGACGAAACTTGAAAGAGATTCCCACTAGAGATAGTTGGTACCCCAGAAAACAGGCCACTGGATTTCTCGGAACTCGATGAATCAAACATTACACAGCGTTATACGAAACTCAGTTAACTGCTGGACAAATAAATGTACATAAATAAATATATATAGAAAATGCAATAAAGGTAAACGAGAGATTTAAACGTTGACTGGTGAAACTGAGGGAAAATTGCATTAAAGTTCTTTTTCTTCACGTTCCCAGTGGAACATAGGGCCTCAAGCTAGTGGCTTGAAGTTTCTGTAACAGTGTTTAATTTTTTTACAGGATGGGGTTGCTAGCCTCATGTCCAACCTTTCCTCTTTACCAGCTTTATTACTGGCTTAGCGAAGTAAAGGAGTGAGTCGGCCGGGGATCGAACCCCGGACCATGTGCATGGTCGGCGAGCGTCTTAACCGCTATGCCACCGACGCAACCAAAGTCTTATAGACTCCTAATAGGACTTAGAATTAGAATCTGCAGTTTCCTGTTCCACGTGATCAGTCCTGTGTGAAGATTGCACATTTCCAAAAATACACAAGAACTGTTTAACTCAACGTTAATTCTTGGTAACTAAGTTTCCATATCTTCAGTAACAACTATAGCAATTTAAGCAATGGAAAATAATTCCGAGTATCCTGAGTAGTTACGTTAACAGTGAAATTTAAACTGTTACCCAAAAATAAAATATTACTTGGAAAAAATGCTTAGATGATCTCATGTCACAAACTGAAAACATCTCACACAACAAACAAATTTACTGAAAGCATACAAGGATGAATCACCCAAAAGGAAATGACAACACTGTGAATCGATAAGAACAACAGAATAAGGATGATGCAATACTGTTCAAAGAATCAGTGTAGATTTTTGTACGCTACTTAATTCCACGCAATCCTTTGAGGCTAATTCCGATACGGTATATTGCGTAAGGTCACCAAAATTGATCTAGTTTGAACCTCAGCATGTGGTGACTGGTCATGCATATGATTGGTAAAAAGTCGTAAGTTATCAGGCTAAAAGCGTTAACTACCGAACCACATCAACATGATGCATGCACAGCGTTTAAACGAAACTGAAAGCGAGACATACCTCGCTAAAATCCTAAATGCATACGCATCTAAAACAATTGGTCGTAGAAGTCAGATACCATTTGACATAAATCGGAGCATAATTATCACTGAACTCTCAAACCAACAAAAAGTGTTATTTAATAGCCAATAACTGCTCAAAAGCTACCACTTATTGCAGAAAAACTTGAGAACTCCTGGCAGGTATCACAACATATTTCAGTCACATTCTGAAATTGTTTGATTATGCGCACAAACTGCAACTCAGTGATGGTTTTCAGCATGACTAGCACCAATACACCACCCTATGCTTTTTTAGGCATTTTCGGAAGTAGCTCAGAAGCTTGTGTGTCAGTCTTCTTGCAGCCCTCTCTCCTAAGTCCTTTTGTTCCCTAACATCTGGCAGTTCTGTGTCCCCCATGGAGTACGACGTGTAAGACTTCTGACCTAAGTGCATTACCGCGCTTTTCTTGGAATTAATTTCCAGGCTCCAAAGGTTAGCCCATTCGGCTAACTTATCTAGATTGTTTTGTGGTACCAACCTATCATCGCTACTATTTACGGTTTTCCATATCTTAATATCGTCCGCAAATAGTAAGGAAGATGAGGTAAGAATTTTTTGCACTTCATTTACGTATAATAAGAATAGCAGGGGGCCAAGTACCGTTCCCTGAGGTACTCCACTTAGTACTGCTTTCCGCCCTGACAGTACACCATTAACCCTTACCTTTTGCGTCCTATCCATCAGGTAGTCACTAAACCACTCGCATAAGCGTTGGTCTAATCCAAAATGTTTAAAAAAGTGGTGTCATGAGTGGGATCACGTCGTACTCCATGGGGGACACAGAACTGCCAGATGTTAGGGAACAAAAGGACTTAGGAATTATTGTTAGCCATGACTTAAAAACAACGGCGAACTGTAATCGAGCCGCAGCGAAGGCTTTTCCAATGCTATGGGTACTTCGAAGATCTTTCAAACGATTAGACGAGGGTATGTTCCAAATACTCTATGCAACATATGTCAGGCCTCATCTAGAGTCCTGCATACAAGCAGCGAGTCCATGCTTCAAAAAGGAGGCACATGCCCTGGAAAGAGTACAGAGGGTAGGAACCAAATTAGTCAGTGGTATCTCACACCTTCTTTATGATAAGAGGATGGAGCATTTAAATCTCTTCCCATTATCATACCGAAGGAGGAGTGGTGACTTAATTTTGGCTTACCGTATATTCAAGGGTGATTTAGGGATTGACCATTCAAACCTTTTCTCTCCCTCTAGGATACATTTACGGGGTCACCAGAAGAAGGTGCTCAAACCAAGGTCGAATAAAATACGCTTGGAGTTTAGATTCTCTCACGGAGTGGTCAACGACTGGAACTCTTTACCTGATTCAGTAGTAACAGCTCCATCGGTGAACGCTTTCAAAGAGAAACTGGATCTCTGCAGAGATATATATCGCGAGGATTAACATAGGCAACAACAGCCTTCTATCCTTATAATCTGAATCTGAATCTGGATTCAGCAGGGACTGGCATTAATTTTGAACCATCATACTTAGGTCACACAAGCTCATCTCAACTTTATGCCATTTAAAACATTACCAGTTTCTTTTAAGGTGCTGCACTTCATGAGAAGGCAAACAAGAAGTGTGACTTCTAATCAGTTGTGTAAACTAGAAATGAACGTATATGTTCCCCGTGATCCTAGAACAACAAAGCACGTGCAACGGTAATTCGTATATTTTACTACTATTTGAATACGTAAGCTTATGTATTAAATGGAACGCGGTAACAAATATCCTAATCTATTAGTACAGATAAGCAATGTGCTACAAATCACCAAGCAGGAAGAAGTAACGGACGACCTTGTGCGTCTCGAGAGAGAAACGACGCTCGCTCAACGACCTATCATTTCCAATATTCAATATATCTGAGGTAGCGTTTTATAAATCCACCTCTTGATTCTGATGGCCCATCCTAGATCTCCGATAGATTGCAACACTGTGCATCTGTCATTCGCTGGCAGTTGGTCAAATGAACAATATCTTTTTCTCCTCTTTAATCTTAGCTACTTCATTTAAAGAATTAGTTCAGTGAACTAGTTCGCCATCGTTTCAGCCACCTGAATGGCATAGAGAGGGTAAGGAGAATGGTTAAATGCGGTGTAATTTACTGTTGCTGCTGGCGAGTGCTCTGACCAACAAGTTGCTAGGTTATTTTGAAGACAAGAAGTGATACGAAAAAAATGCCAGCCAGTAAACCAGCAAACTGATTCACTACCCACAGTGTCTGATGTATTTGTTACGAGGCTTTCGTTAGCAGCTGCGAGATCTCAGTGGAAAAGATAAAAATTGCAGGAGAAATGACTGTAAAAAGTGTAACACGTGGAATGCCCATGTTATATAATGGTAGATTTCTTATGGATAGTAACAAAAGAAAATAAAAAGACAAAATGAATAATTAACTGCTAATAGTAGATGGTTATATAGTGTAGGACAGATAGGAACAGGTGAAATATAAGTTTCGTTAGTAGTTTTGGTCTTTCTTCCAGCCACTTCATTCGCCAACGTGATTATTATAACCCTTTCTACAGTGTGTCATTGATAAGATATTGTATATATATGTAGGTACCAACAGTACTGATATTTGCTATGCTCAAGCTAAAGTTTCGCATTAATTTTTGTGATTCTCTTCCGTTGTGTAACTGAACAGTGCTCTTTTGGCCATCCTAGAGTTCATTCACCTGTGCAATTTCAGCTGAAACCCTACTACCTCTTCACGATTCCCTGACTTTATACATATTTTATAATCTATTTCAGTTATGCTCCAGTAGATATAAAATATGAGGCATTAGGAAGCCTGGACGTTTAGTCAAATTTTCCAGTGTTCTATGGAATTAACGCCAGAGTATATGTTATTTGGTAAGTCCACATGCAATGTACAGATACAGGAATTTTTTGACATATTTTGCATGTTGATTTTAACATCACTGTTTAAGCTGCAGTATTCAAAACGCAGTGGATACATATGTACACAATGGGGACAGGCCGACTGTTGAGGAACTGCAACACACCCGATTCCCTTGGCAACATGGAATTTCAACTGAGAAATTTCTACTAGTGAGTAGGCACAGATGAAGACAAACTTCAATGCCATCGCAATCCATCCATCTTGTATCTCAACTTATGAGTTCATCTAAGACGCTATCTACAAGTTATTTAGCGGTCTTCAGGTGAAATCATTTTGATGACAGTTGAGTGGTGCGCTAATCTCATACATATTCCCATAAAACAAAAAGTTAGGTAGATTTTCTTCACAAACTAAAATGTTTTCATTGAATGTATTACCGCTGATGCTGTATCACCCGCTGATGCAGAGAACGTTTGAAGTTTCCCTTTGGCGATTTCACATCTCGCCCAACTACGACGTCATATTCCGCTTCATTTTGTGCTAGCTATCGCGCGTAACATGACGGTCCCTATCACAACCACGTCAGCCAGATAACTTTCAAAAGCACCTTTTTCAAATAAACTGCTTTCAGAGGCCATTCGACGGTGGCTGGTTGTGTTATTGATTGAGTGCACTGTATCAGACCTGCCAAATATAATGTGCCTAATTACTCAGTCAAGCAGTAATTTCCTGAATTGTGGGTACGTAAATTAGAACACAAGTCGAAAAGGCTGAGTCACTGAGGGATGTTTTCTGATGGGCGACCGATTTTCAACTGAATAAAAGGTTAAAGATACTTATTGGGAAATTTTGGTCTGTACTTTGGTAGTATGACTGAAAAGTTGACTGAGTACTTGAATGTTAACAGCACAAGGAAAGAGCGTGAAGTGGCTTTCAAGCCAGGCATACCTGTTAAAAACATTTGGAGACGAGTTGGACATCTGTGCTGTTAACCTTGTGTTCCCACAAAGCAGCAAAGAAGAATTTAGCAGTTGGGAAATCGTCATTCGATTCCACAGGTTTTCATCATTTGCAGACAACCTGTAATTA